GGAGTTTGGGACAAAGTAGGATTATGTGAAATACCCATATTGTGTGGAAACAAGATCCTTTTCCCCTCCTGTACCTGCCCATAACACCTCTCTGCTTCCATCTCTGTGGATGTGGGGAAGTGGTTGCCACGTGTCTCATCCAGCTAAAGTCTGACAGAAGATGTTCTATGGGCTTTTGTAGTGAGAGAGAGAGAAAATGCAAAGGGGAAATGTAGAAAAAGTTTATGTAAGCACAAGTTTATGTAACATGATTGCAGCACTGAAGAAAAGACTAATCCAAGATTGCTCCCCATAAAATCACAGCATGATAACTTTAAGCAGTTTATCAGGCTTTCACAGTGGCACTTACTGTGTGAGAAAGTATCATGCAGCTAGATTATAGAATTGGAGCTGCTGTCTCAGGACAAAGATAATCTCTTTTTTTTTTTTATTGCCTATTTGGAAATTTAGCCACTGTCAAATGAAATATATCCACAAACCCACAGTATTAAAGATACAACACTAGCAAAAACTGCAGAGAGCACTCAGCGTTGGGTGGTGAAACTACAAATTACAGCTTTTGATGAACAGGGAAGAAGGAAAACAGGTGAAATAATCTGGCAGTTGTGGGCTCAATCCTTTACATAACATATCTACTCAGTAATGGTCACTGTTTCATCAGAATGTGGACCATGATTACACCTGTCCTTACCAGAAAGTCACTGAAACCTCAGCACTGGGCGTGGGTTCAAAGCAGGCTGGATGCTGGGGATGGTCCTTGTTTCTTCACAGCTGCCTGACAGTCCTTTTTCATGCTTGTTCCTGATTCCAACACCCCACTAACCCATGGGAGGAGAGGGTCAGGGCTGAACACTCTTGGCTCTGCGGAACACCTTGACTTTGAATTTCTTATGCCTCAAATGCTGCTTCTGTAATTTTGTTATGCAGCCAAAGAGTATACAAAAATTATTTGCTTATTTTGGAATTGTTACTATTTGTGTAAGATTGACAAGAGAAAGTTTCTCCCACCAGAAGTGTGCTCAGTCTCAGGTTGCACCTAACAGACCTGTGGAGTTCTTCCATCTCTCCAGGTGAGCACCAAGGACTTACCTGTGCACAGAGCAGTACCGTGTGGGGTAAGCAGACACAGCAAGTGCAAGACACCTGCTAAAAGCTGTTAATAGTTTGGTCAACAGATTACACTGGCTCTTCATGATGCTCTGTGCATGTGGACAAATACTGCATTTAAAATATAACCCTAGGAATCTTGGAAGAATAAAATTCCTATGTTGAGAGACTTGCTTATTTCATGGAATCACAGAATCATGTGAGTTGGAAGGGACCTGAAAGATCATCTAATTCTGACCCCTGCTGTGGGCAAGGACACCTTTTACTAGACCAGGTTGCTCCAAGCACATCCAGCCTGGCCTTGAGCACTTCCAGGGATGAAGCATCCACAGTTTCTATGAGCAATTTGTGCCAGTGTCTCTCCACCCTCACAGAAAATAATTCCTCCCCAGTGTGTAAACTAAACCTGCTCTCTTTCAGTTTAAAGCCATTTCCCCCATGTCTTTTACCACATGCTCTTTTAAAAATTCCCTCTCCAGCTCTCTTGTTGTCACTGGAAGGGGCTCTAAGGCCTCCCCTGATTCTTCTCCAGACTGAACAACCCCAGCTCTCTCAGCCTGTCTCCACAGCAGAGCTGCTCTGGCCATCAGAGCATCTTCATGGCCTCCCCTGGACTCACTCCAACAGGTCTGTGTCCCTCATATATTGGGGGCCCCAGAGCTGGACACAGGACTACAGGTGGGATCTCACAGGACTCCTCCCTCACCTTCTGTCCACTCTGCTTTTGATGCAGCCCTGGACACATTTAGGACACTGATGAGCAACAAAAGCATATTGATGCACATTTGGCTTTCTGGGCTCTGAGCACACATTGCCAACTTTCCTTGATCTTCTTGTCAACCAACACACCCATGTATTTCCTTTCAGGGCTGCTTGATTTCAAATCAAAAGGCCATTTCTAAACTTATGGGATATCTTCACCAAAGCTGAATATTAAAAGAAGGCCCAAATAGTTGGAAAAAAGTACCAAGCCTAATCCAAGAATCCTTAAGAGAAGACTGCAGGATTTTAACGAACTTTCTTCCCTTATGGCTTTTCTTTCATGCCTACAAGTCCCTTTGGGAATTCTGGAGTTGCCCATTCTCTCTGCTAGGCCAGCTTAGCACAGCTGAGACTTTGTCAGGAGTCTGGGGTGGCTGCAGTTCTGCTTCATCCCACACTGATGTCAGCAGGTACTTCTGTGCACCGAGACCCACAAGCCAACACATCCAGCAACTGTGGGAATTGTTGAACCTGCTGGATGTGGAAATGTGCAGATTCTATTCCATGACTTTGAAGGTGACCAGAGAGGGAGTTTATTTTGGAATCACAAGGGAAGTTAAGTCCTCATGGGCTTCAGCCAGTTTGAACAGAAACTTCTCAGCCAATGTAAACCTGTTCCATCATCAATACTAAGGTGCAAAGGGAATTATTTTGATCCTTTGCTGAATGCAGATGATGCCATGTACATCAGCAAAAACAGGCTGTCAGAGGATGGGTGCTGGACCTCCAAAGTGGAGTATTATCAGTGAAGCTGAGCAAACGACCATCATCAGTTCCATAAGACCTGAGCAATTCTTCTTCACTATCTTCACCTTCAGCAGAGCACAGAAAAAGTGAGGACAGACATCTGAATGGTGTGGCTGAAATTCATAGTCTCTTCTCAGATCATTTGGAGCAAGAAATAGATCAGGAAATAAGGATTATTTCTGTTTCCACATTTCCAGAGCAAACACACATTCCTAAACCATCCAGCAGTTCTGCTGCTCTCCAGCTGGGCTTGGAGGCTGCCTCTCTGTAATGCCCCTAAAAGTGGTACTGAGGACCCAACCCCTCTGAAAAGTGCCACAGCTTAAAAGTGTCCTCTCTTTGTTCAGCTCTATCATGCCAGTTTGTGTCTTCAGAGACTGTAAATTCCCGGGTGTTACATAGCAGAAAGTTTCCTCCTCTGCCTCCAGGACAGGCAAATGCTGCTCCTTCATCTTCTGAATGAAGCTTCTCAGTGAGTTAGCATCTGGTTTGTGCAGCAGGTTTGCTGTTTGTGAAGTGAAAGCCATCTGATATCATAGTTTAAGCCTACAGCATATACACATTCTTGTAACCATAACACTCAGCACTCTTGCTGAGTAGCTGAACTGCAGAATTGCAGAAAGTTAAAACATGCAGTGAAATTGCACAAAACCAAAATTCCCTCCTGCACCCACCTGTTGTATGAGTCCAACGGAGCTTCAGTCCAGATTTCTTATGGAAAAGGCTATTGTAACACTTTGAGACTGTTTTTTCATAACTATGATATGAAATTCATATGATGTATATGATTGATCACTAAACTGCTGTTGGGTGATCTATTGGGTGGGACTTTGAGCTAACTTGCCCTCTCTTCATCTTACAGCTGGACAACAAATACCAGGTTTGAAAGGACCCAAGTTTCCTGTGTGAAAACTCCTCCTTTCAAGATGATTGATTTAAGTCTGTGTTTTCTGTCTACAGCCCAGAAAGGCAAGTAGAGAAGTAAATGAACAAGTGATATTTGGAAACAAACTCTGAACTCAAAAGCAGTTTGTTTTAAAACATTTTCCTCTTCACTACTTAGAATGCTGAAGGTGAATAAAGATGAGAGGATGCAGCAGGGATTGAATCAAGCAGCAATTGTTATAAGGTTCAGGAGTGACTTAAGGAATTAGTACTCAAATCTTCAGAGCCTTTCCTGAAAAGCCAGTGACCTGACACAGAAGGTCCCAGCCTTCAGGGACTCCCCAGGGACAGATGTCTGAGGTGGTGTCCACCTGTTAACGTGGGGGACTTGGCAGAAGGGATCTGATCCAGCTAAGCCAAGGTCAGTCAGTGAGCTCAGGGACAGGCAGGGGACAGCAAGGCAGGAGGGGAACACAGAGGCACAGCTGGTGGCCAACAGCAATCCCCTCCATCAGTCCCTGGTGGGAACAGCAGCTGGGATATGGGGTTACTTGATCACCAGCAGGAACCTTTAGGGAGGTGGGGTAAGCTTGAAAGGTGTCAGCATTGTTGTAGGCAGGAAAAGCAATGAAACTGGAGGAGAAGACTGAGTTGATGGTTAGACGTGATGATCTTCAAGGTCTTTTCCAACTGTAGTGATTCCATGATTCTATGACTGGTGACCAGCTCAGCTACTGACTGCCAGTAACCAGCCCAGTAGGGAAGATTTGGGCTGCCCTCACTACACTTCAGCAAGGACAAGGAATTGGACATGGTTTGGCTTACAGAGCAATACCCAGTGACACACAACTCTCTTATCCTTCTTTTTTCTTCCCATATTTGTTGGAATTGCCTGTGTGCTGGTGGGGAAGTGCTGTCCCTTACGCACCCAGCTGGTTTAATCCAATCTCCCGTATTCTTATTTAATGTATTTGGATATTACCTGAAGGAGAACCCCTGGGAATTAAACCTGGCTCCTGTTACTGACAGTCAGTGGGAAGGCAAGAGGTTTACATTAGATTAGCATTTAATCTGAATGCTTGTCAACATAAAAATTTGCTTCTTTCAGTCACATGTTCTGAACATGCATAAGGCATAAACGCCATTTAAAACTGACAAGAGACATATAAATCTCTTTCATTTCACTGCACCAACATTGAGCCTAAGAAAAGAAAGTTACAAAAATAATCTTATCCTGCACTTAATCCTCCATTCTTCTGATTTGCAAAATTACACCCATTTTCTCAGCAAAATTACATCAACATTATATTTCTGATAATGAAATAAAATAATGAGATTTTCAAAATATGAAAATAGTCTGCTTCACTTAATGTACAGAAGCTTTATCTTTTGTTTTGGCAGTTCCTGTTGGTACCATATGCAAAGTTAGGACAGAGTATATTTCAGTGAGATAAAGATCACATTGTCTCTCTGGAGAAGAAGAAAACAGTTTACAATCAACCAAGTTTACCTTCCAAGAGTCTGAATTCAGACTGGGTGTTATACAGTTTTAGAGGCAACTGCACAACTGATCTGGAAATAGTATTGTAAGCCACATTCAAATGGCTCAACCCCAGCCACCACTTTCTGCAGCCCTTTTATCACTGGGCAAAGTGTTCAGTTAATATAAACTGACATGGACCCACTGCCTTGTAGCTACAGATTTATAGTAGCTGAAAACATATCCCATTAAAAAGCATTAACAGCCTTTACTGGGCCTTCTGATTATTTTTAAATGTGACTATTCAGAAATACACAAATATTACAGATTAAATCCAATGCTGCAAACTGTTCTCTGCGATGTTTTGGAGCTATGTGATATTGCTACATAACTTAACTACTTCAAAGGGCAGTAAATCTGCTATTTCAAATTCCATCAGACTCAAAATTGTAAACAGGCTTATGGTTTTTATTGTTGTAAACACATATGCCCCAAGCAAACATATCTTGGTTTGTCCAAAAACTGAAACAACGAAGAAAACAAAAAACCCCAGCCTTAGATGGCAAGTCAACAGAAATCCTAAATGAAGTTAACTCTTACCCACATACACTCCAAATATACCTCAGAAGCACCCTCACAATTAAGCATTTTGAGGACAGTTCATAAGGCCTTTGACTTCAAACCTGCCTGACAAGGTTTCAGTATCAAACTCAATGAGACGCTCCGTGGTTGCACTGATTTTACATCCCAGCGTCCTTCAGCAAAATCTTTCTCAGTTTTCCAGCCCAGCACTGTGAGTCACTTCCCTGATGGCCCTGAGCAAATTACAGGTGGCCACTTCCTCCAGGTGCTCTGGAACAGCAGCAAGCCTCTCCTCCAAAGGCACTTCTGGTAAAGCAAAAAGGCACTCACAGAGGCACACAGGGAAGGCAGTGGGATGAAACTCATGGCTTGTCTTGCATTGTGATAATTTCTTCAAGGTGAACAAACCTCTTGGGTTCCTCACTCTCCCTTCCAGATTTAGATATGTCTTCAGAGTCCCATCATTTTAGCTTAGGCTTGGAGCCAGTCTCTGGAACCATCACAGAAGCCAAGAATGAACAGGTCTGAACTTCAGTGCTCCAGAAGGTGCCTGAGATTAGGTGTGTCTTTCTTTTAAAAAGTGTGCTCAACAGTATAAATCTATAGTAGAAATGAGTTGATCTATCTAAAGCATGATAACATCCCTGACTGAAAAAAGCCACCATCTAAAAGACTGGTATAGTCTCATTATTACAAAATAGGTGCAGACTAAGACTAATACCCATGCCATGGTTTTTTGTGAGGCAGAGAGCCTACACCATGTGAGAAATGGGTATAGTGATTACTTAAAGGCCAAAATTTAAAGAAATTTGAATTACATAATTTTTGGAAGGGACTATGATTTTTCGTATCATCAGGGGAGATGTTGATTTTGAAAACGCGAAGTTCTCATTCTCTAACAGAGATCAGTTTACAGGTTTCAGAAAACATCAGTAACAGGAAATGCAGAGTTCTATTTCTTGTAGAATCTATAAACTTAGATTATATCAAAATCTCTTTCAAAAAAAAATGAAAAAAAATCCTCAAAATATGTTTGCATGAGTGATTTGCTTAATTTCAAAACAAAATAAATCCTAACTTCATATAGTATACTTCAAGTTCCCAAGTGCTTTCCAAACACAATAGTGTGCAAGTTACAGGTAGAGATTGTGCTGAAAATCCACCCTAGCCCCCAAGGGTGAAGCATATTGTGAGTTAATACTTGGATGGTGCATCATGAATTGGACTCAATGACCCTTGTGAGTATTTTCCAATTCAGAACCTTCAAAGATGCTCTGGTCACATTTACTCTTTTTTTTTTTTTTTTCTCTTAATTTACAAATGCATAAAATCTCCCATGAACAGGATCACAGCTTCCCATGAATCACTGAAAAAAACCAAACAAAAATCCCCAAGCCTTCAATAGCTTGCATTTCTGAACATGTGCAATGTCTTTTCTAGCACAGTACATGGAGTTAGGTGTATATTTGCACCAGGGTCTCCTCTCTTGATTTCATTACTGGCTATGTCAGAATCATCCTTTGTACTTTTTGATAAAATGTGAGCAGAGAAATGACCTAGAAAACTCTCACAGAGTTGTTGATGGGATGTGAGTCTGTATTTGGAAAGCCACTGCATTCAGAGCTTTCAGACAGAGGTGTCCTTTTTGTGGCTGTCCAAGCTGTCTGTGTTTTGATGGCTTCTCCTGGTAAAAGCAGAACAAATGATACATGAACACACTTCTGGCTTTCGCTGCTGACTCATCAAGCTGAGTTTGCAATCTCAAACAGCTGAGAACTCCAAGCAAGGTGTGGCTGTTCTGGACAATGACTGAAGCTCCTGAACAGAGGAACCAGTCCCGTTTTAGATTGTTTACCCTGTCCTCTCCAGTCTGCACGGAGGCCTTTGTCATATCTGTTAACCCTATGCACATATCTTGAGTATTTTAGGGCAAGAATTGATCCCAGGCACCCTTGCTTAGGTCCTGGAATGGACCTCTTAGCATGGAAATCAGTTTCCAATTCCAGTAAATTGGGATAATAAAACCAAGGCAAAGGAACAACCTATATTTTTTGGTATTTTATCCATCAGTCTGCTAGGACTGTCCTTATGTATATCCTCAAGAGTTGACAGAGGTGGATGAATTTGAGCTAGACAAGATTTTCCTTGGGGAAGGAGGAAAAAGGAGGAAGGGAGAGTGACAGAATAAAAAGGGAAAGAATAGTTCAAAGCTGACCTCTTTTTTTCTCCCACAATCTTTTCTGCCTACACTTCTAAATGGTTTGGATGTTTCTTGTATCCCATAAACGCCAAGAATGCAGTCAACAACATAACATTTTCTTCTGTATAAAAGTAAATTGTAGCTATTCACATTACCCCCGCAAATTTAATCTATGTAGAATATTCCTCTTTTCTGGCCTGAAACAATGTACCACAATAGTGCTTTGTGAGCCACTCCAGAGAAAACATAAATAGGGCAGCTGAAATTTCTGATAAATGGTCCTCTAAGCAGGTTGTACTGCACTACAAAAAAGAGATACTGGAACATGTCATGGTCCCATTCCGTTAATAATTTGACTAAGAGCACATTGTTTTATTTTGTTGTAAGGAATATAGGGATTCTTTACAATAATAATTTTCACAGTATGATTAAGAGCTACTGCAGGGGTGTTGTTGCTGTTTCACTGCCAGTCCAAACTTACCTTAACTCTTCAAGGGCAAGCTTTGTTTCTTTCCGACTTTCTTCAGTGATGGGGTAGAAAAGAAGTATAAATAAACCTAAAAGGATGAGGATGGCAGGGACTGCTCCAATGAGGAGTTTCAGTGTGAGGATCACATCATCTGACTGTCTGCATATCCCTGGCTTGTACCCAGTAAACCTAAACAAATGGAAACAAGTGATGTGTGTATGTCCAAAGCTAAAAGGCTGCTGTTCACCTGAAGGCTTCCTTCTCCCACCCTCCCTACTCTTCAAGAATTTTCTTCCATTTTCCCTCCACCTCTCTTCCTTCTCCCCACTACATTTCAAATTGTGTTTTTCAAACCTCATTTTTGTGCTTGACTTCAGATTACTGCATTATCTCTGCATTTTCTTGTTATTATATATAACATTTAGGTTCATTATTTGAAATCTATCCAATTGCTTGCATACTTTTAAAGAAAGGATTGTGGGATCCCATGTAAGGAAATAAACTGATGCCCAGCAAGTTCCACCTGAACATGAGGCAGAACTTCTTTCCTGTGCAATGACTGAGCCCTGAATAGATTGTCCAGAGAGGCTGTGGAGTCTCCTTCACTGGAGATATTCCAGAACCATCTGGACACAATCCTGTGCCTGTGCTCTGGGATCACTCTGCTTGAGCAAGGAAGGTTGGAAGCAGATGAGCCACTGTGGTCCCTTCCAGCCTACCCATTCTGTGGTTCTGTGGTTATGTGAAATTAATCTGTTATGTGTTTCCTATTAATATTCAGCAAAGTATTCAAGCTCTGCTTTAAAAGCATGGAAGTAATTTCACCAATTTCAACAGCAATAATTAATTTTAATTTAAACACACACTTAAGCACTCGTCTCAAGATAGACAAATTTACTCAAGTGCTCAGAGTTAGGTACACTTCATTGATTCAGGGCTTCCATGCAGTCCCACAACTGCTGATATACTCAAATTCCTACTCCCAATTTGTGGAATGAGTTTTTCTTCTGAACATCCACCCAATGAAAGCTCATTTGGCATCGCTCTGTCTTCTGTGTTCTCCCACAAACATCTGCCTTGGCAAATTACTGGAACCCAACTGGAATGCAATTGAAAAGGAACTAATTGGGGAACAGCGAATTGTTTGAAGGTTTTAGCAATAAGCAGTTAAATCCCTAAGCCCAAAACATTCAGCCAACATTGCCTGTTATTTAGCAATTTCAGCTCAAGATCCCAAAGCAAAACATTCTGGTTACCAGAACCTAATCTGGAGCTGAGGGCTAGATTTCCCTTCTAAGTATTTATTGTGTGCTGTAGCAGGGACAGGCACAGGCCCTTTCTGCCAGGTCTTGCACAAAGGGAGGGCAGGAGATGCCTGGCCACTTACTCAACCTGTCTGGTCAGAACAGACAAGACCAAGTGGAAAGAGACCATAAACCCTCCCTTAAAGTGACATGATCTGGGGGACAGGGAGAGCTGTGAGAAAGGCTGTTCCTGACCCTGATCTGTATCCAGTTCCCTAAAACCATGCAGGAACTGGTGATCCTTTCGTGCTGAACATGAAAGGTCTCTGGCACTCCTGAAAGCACTCCAATCCATGTAAAGTCTTACAAGCTCATAGAGTCCAGTTCAGGTGCAACAGGGAATGCACAAAGCACCTGTATCACCTGTGGGGGACCTTCATCTGCTGCGCCTTCGTGTTTAGTTCTTTATTCATATAAGCCACTAAAATTTACATGAGTAATTGAAAAGAGGAAAATCTAAAGGGAAGTCAGGTTTTTCTGAGTAGAACAATGTCAGGGCAAGTAACTTAATGTTCAGTTGTCTGGCCTAGATGGCACCAATCCTGTCTTTAGTGGTCAGCCATCTGGAGCTGCTGGCACTTTCAGGCTCAGGGCATGAATGCAATTAACTCCACCGGGTAAAAGTGTTGTAACCTCAGAATGCTTTCAGAGTAGATCCACTAAGCGGAAACGCAGTGTTACTTACTCCAGTCCTGCTGCAGAAATTCCTAAGCCAATTCCTGCTGACATCTTGGTAAAAAAAACATAAGAAGAATAGAAAATGGTTTCATGTCCTTTCCCATGAGGATTCTGAAGGCGAAAGTTATCAACAACATCAGGCAGCATTGACCTAGAAGTGAGCAAGATAAATGAAAAACTCAATACAAAATTTCTTTTCAGAGTCCAAACTTAATGAAATAGAGCACAGCCCTCCTCCATTTTTAAGCTGATTGATGCAGCCATGCATATGAAAGAATCCAGTTAAAAAGGTTCTACTCCTGGAAAGGAGGACAAAAACTGTGTAAGAAAATCATGGCCATATATTACAATGTGGAAAATCACTGAAAAGCCATCAAACACTTGAGAGGTGACATAATTTCCTAATCTGTCTGTCATTCCAACCAGAAGTTGTGATATTAAAAAAGAACAACAAAACCCCCACCACATTTCTTAAGATTTCAAGGGACTCTGAATGTCTGAATAGTTGCACTCTGAAATAACTCTTCTGACAAGGTAACAACATTTTCAGAAACCAATGAAACCTATTCTCTTTCCATTTCAAAGAGACTGAATTAGGTAATGGAGAGAATTAGAATGGAAGCTGCTTGAATGTTAATTGTGAATTGACATTTTATTTCCAATATATGTAATCATTTACTGTTGGAAAAAGAAAAGTCTTCTCACCCTCTGTGCAGAAAAGCTTACACAGTCTGACAACTAATTTCAAACTATGTATTCCATGATCTCTTGGAATTTTCAGGGCATTATACAAACAAGTTATGGAAAACAGTGCTCTCAGCAACGGTCTTGCTTTCTGGTTAATATGATCTCAATAACAATTATTCAGTCTGAAGAGGAACTGTCCAGCCATGCTCATCCTTGGGTTGTTTTCCCACACTTATTTTCAGTCCTCAGGTGCAAAGGACCTTGAATTCTTGGTTTCTTATAGTCATAACTTTGAGCATAGGATCCATACCAAAGGACTACTCAAGCAGGGACACACAGAATCATGGAATGGTTTGGGTTGGAAGGGACTTTAAAGCTCATCTCATTCCAGCCCCCTGCCATGGGCAGGGACACCTTCCACTATCCCAGGTTGTTCCAAGCCTCATCCAGCCTGACCTTAAACACTTCCAGGGATGGGGCAGCCACAGCTTCTCTGGGCAGCCTGTGCCAGGGCCTCACCACCCTCACAATAAAGAAATTCTTTCTATAACCTAATCTAAATCTATCATCTTTCAGTTTAAAGCCATTACCCCTTGTTCTATAACTTCATGCCCTTATAAAAAGTAGGGTTAGACATAGTTTGCCTTATGTGTCCTCTGCTACATTCTTAATTGCTCAGCATTAATTGATTTGCCTAACTTCATAATTCCTGAAGCAATGTTATCACACATTGTATAGCTACTTAGATTATTGATTAATTTACATGTTCTCATGTACAAAAAGCAGCTACAGTTATGGTGGATGTAGTCTGTTAACAACAGGACAACAAGCTCATATCACTGTATAATAGCATTCACTACAAAACCAAAAAAAGATTCTTAGAAGAAGTGACTCCTGCCATATTCTGCCGTTTTCAGAGGCAAATTCCATGCAGTAATACATACATGTAATGCAGAAATATATCCATTCCCCACCTCAAATGTAAAATTCTCCTACCATGGCAAGAGAAGAGATGCTGCAATGCTCAGACCAGAGACGAAGGCCACGAAGTAAGCCAGGATCAGGTTTTGAGTAGATAATTTCTTCCTTCCTAGTATCCAATCTTAATCTACCGATCAGGTTAAAGCCATTCCCCTTTGTCCTATCATTCCATGCCCCTGTAGGAAGTCCCTTTCCAGCTCTCTTGAAGCTGCTTTAGGCACTGGAAGAGGCTCTAAGGTCTTCCCAGAGCTTTTTCTTCTCCAGGCTAAACAGCCCTAGCCCTCTCAGCCTGCCTTCATGGTACAGGTGCTCTAACCCTTTGATCATTTTTGTGGTCCTCCTTTGGACTCACTCCACCAGGTCCACAACCTTCTGAGGTTGTGGTTCCCAGAGATGGATGCAGCATGGCAGGAGGGGTCTCATGAGAGCAGAGCAGAGGGGCAGAATCCTCTCCCTCAGCTGCTGCCCACACTGGTTTTGAAGTGCTTGGTTTTGTAGGCTGCAAGTTCACATTGCTGGGTAATCTCGAGCATCTTGCTAACCAACATCCCCATTTCTTTCTCCTCAGGGCTGCTCTCATTCCATTCACTGCCCAGACTGTTTCTGTGTTTGGGGTTGCCCTGACCCAGGTGCAGGATCTTGTTCTTGGGCTTGCTGAGCTTCCTGAGGTTCCCATGTGCTCACCTCTCAAGCCTATCCAGGCCTCTCAGGATGGCATCCCTTCCCTGCAGCATGTCACCTGCACCACACAGCTCAGCAAACCTGCTGAGGGTGCCTCAGTCCCTCCCTCCATGTCCCTGACAAGGACGTTGAACAGCCCTGGTCCCAGAACAGCCCTGGGGCTGACACTCCTCACTGGCCCCCACCTGGACACTGAGCCATTGACCACAGCTGTTTGGGTGCCACCATGCAACCAATTCCTTATGCACTGAGTGGTCCATCCACCAAATCCATGCCCCTCCAGCTTACAGACAAGGATATCGTGCAGGACAGTGTAACATGCTTTGCACAAGTCCAGCTAGACACTTTCAGTTGCTCTTCCCTTATCCATGAACGCTGATAATTCTCAGGAGATTGCTAATCAGCTTGGACAAAGATTTTTCTGCCAGTTAAATAACAGAGATCACCAAATGTCCATTTCTATTCTAGGCACTGGAACTATTTAATTTACTATTAGAGACAATGCCTTAAAACATCCTCATACTGCATTTCAAGGGGAGTGGCAGGGCTTCAGTGGTCATTTTAAACTGTAAATACACCATTTCTCCAATCACCTTCAGCCTTGATGAGGAAGAATTTGCTTTCATTACCAATCACCACTTTAAAGCCATATACATACTCAGCAATAAATAAACCCAAAAGTCAGAGTGGTTTACTCCACTCCCCACAGCCGGATCCACTCATGACACTGCATGACAGCCACAGAGGTTACCCTCAAAACCAAATTAATTTGGGATGCTTGTTTTCTGGCAGTAGTTAGAGTCACTAGATTTCTTCAACTTCAGCTTGAAGCAATGGGCTTACAGGACTGAAAATCCACTATTTTAAATGTTGATTGAATGCCTACTGCCCAGCTGTCCTATACCCGTCACATGCTCCATCTCCCATGCCTGTGAACCACAGGCACAGCAGCACATGTAGAATCCAGAACCAGGGGCTTATCTACAGGGCTTTTTAATGATGGGGATTAGTTTAACATTAAGTGTTTCAATCCTCTATACGTGCAGCTTGGGAGCTGAGGGCATAAGAGCTTTCACAGAGAGTGATTCCCCAAAGCACTGCTATTTACAGTTCTGTATGATGAGTGATTCTGGGAGTCCTAGAGTCTAATCCATTATGTTTATGTTTTAAATGCATTTCCCATCTAAAGCATTTGCTCCCAAGCTAAGGAGGCAGAAAATAACCTTTTCTGACTGCAAGTTCCCAGCACAGGCAGATAATCCTTGCATTAGCCCGGTGTTGTGGCAAAATCGTTATTTCACCACAAGAGAGCACTCCAGCAATATCAGATTTTATGTTGTCTATAAGCAATTTTATGACTGCCTTATGCTCCACATAGGGCACCCACTCAGAAACCAAAGCACTTAAACAAAATTCCAGATCGATACTAATAATCATTGTAACTGTAATTTCCTGGAGAAAGAGAAGCAGGGCCAGCAGGACTGAGGTTACAATGCCCTAAAGCCTCGCTCATGCAGTGGCAGCGCAGTCATGGGGGCAGTGCTCCCACTGCAATAAACAGCTAATGCAGCTCCTTCTGTCTTACTTGCAAAGCAAATACTCTGTTACTGGCATCTGCTCCCTTGTCACAAGGCTGCTGCCCTCTGGGTTATAAACCAGATCCCACAGTTATCCTGTGCCTTCCATCCGTGCCCTGGCAGCGCCGTGCAAGGTGACCCTGCTGGGATGCTGAGGGTGGCTCTGGTCTCTGCAGCAGCGCATTGTGAAGGGCGAATCAGGAAAAGGTGCAGGGAGCATGTGAGTGGAAACAGGATGGGAGAGTGGAAATGGGGCTGCAGAGCCAGGACTCATCCAAAGGCATCTCTCCATGCTGCACAGCGCTCATAGATGGCAAATAAACAATTGCATATCTGTGAGGAGGTGCTCTTATTTTCACTAAATCCTGCAAAACCCACTGTTGTCTAGGATGGAAGCTAGAATTGTGGAAGAGAGCCATGTTTGTTTTTAGACGCCTTGCCAAAACTGTGAACCAAGAAGATGTCACACTTCTTAAAATTTCTCGTGACAACTTCAATTTCAGTCACCAGCTGAGACTTACCAAGTGTAAGTTCAGTGTTTGCCCCGTGAGGGCAGAGCAGACACCTAAATGAACACAGCACGTGGAAGATGAAGGAAATAAACAGGAGAGAATAATTTCCAGCTTGTGCACCAACCTGGTTCTGGATGCTATCCACAATATGCTAAGAATGATATCAAGTATCCTGCTTGGGAGCAGGCTAATTCCTGCTAATTCCAGAAATTCTAGGCTTTAAACTTCTAGGAACTTGAGATACTTAATCAGTAGTAAGACTTGATGGTCATCTCTTTTGGGGGAATGGGTAAAAAGAGAGAAATATCAATGGAAGAAACCCCAGATTCTTGTTGCTTATCTACCCCTTCTAAACTTTTTGAGGGCTCTCTTCAACACAGGCTCACCTTAACAGGAAAAATTAGTCTGGAGCACTGTGACCTTTTTTTTCAGGAAACTGAATTTCCAATTGGTAATTCATGTTCACCCTGAAAGCTGAGTGAGGTTTTAGAGAGAAAAAAAAAAAAAAAAAAAAAAAAAAAAAAAAAAAAAAAAAAAAAAAGTTTCTTCCCTGTCTCCTTCCCTTCCAGTAGAACATTCCCCAATGACAAACTTAGGAGCCTTAAATGATGTGCTTTTATTTCATAGTGGGAGAGTACAGATTAGTTGTACAGATCACACCAGGTGGCAGGGTAGAAAGCTCCTGTGGTGCATTGTCAGACACAAAATCCATCACTGAGCACACACTGAGTCCCCTGAGAAATGTCTCCAAGGTGAAACAGAAAGGTGGCTTTTTTTAAATCCATCCCCCACTTAGACCATAACAGTCAAGCAACTCAACTGTAAAATTAAGTTAAACCATGTTTACAGAGGTGCTGACAGGCTTTCCAGTCATGTAAAACTAAATTTATAGAGCCAAGTTGGTTGAAGAAAGCATTTTTTGTAGCCAAGTAGACAGAGGAGGAGATTTCCTAAGGAGGAAATCTGCATTCCCAGGTCTAGTCAATGGGCCAATACTGCTTTTGGCAATTTCTTTGCTCAAGTGGTAAAAAGAAATAAAGATGGGCCTCAAATTCCAGATACCTACTTCAAAACACATCACAATTCAACATATTTGGAACTTGGGTTTTAAAGTTACTTCTGATTCTCTGGAAGTCATTACAACACAGCTTTTAATTCCAAAAATTATAACTGTTCAACTCTGCCACCAGACCTAAATTTTTCAGCTTTGTTCAAATTTTGACATATAGCTTTGGGCTGGATTTTTCAAGTCCTCCTGCTTTGTTGTGCACAAGGCAATTTTTCTTTCCTCTTTCATAAGTAATTGAAGGTAAACAGGGGGAAAATGGGGAGGAACAGGCCTACACAATAACTCACCAAGGATGATGACAGAAAATTGCTGCTGTCTGCACTAAGTAAGGGACTTAAAATAATCCATCAGTGACAAGGGCAGGCTCACTGAGCTGGCTTTGCAGAGCTGTGTCAGAGTTAAACTAGGCTTCTTTTCTCAGGTAGGTCACCTCTTTCTTTACTTCACTAATAACTCTCCCTCCCTATTCAGAGGGATGTGGATGCTCCTAGAGGGGGTGTCTAACAGACTTTTGTTTCCTTCTGTGAGACTGCATTACAGACACCTCAGCAGCATATAACAAAGACAAAACAAGCCTTGCACAACAGATAACTTGTCAACATGAGGCAACTCAGATCTGAATTTATAAAACCTTATTGAAGCTCAGTTCTGAGATCTTCAAATGACGAGAATTTGTGCAGATTCTTAAATAAACTGGGACCTCCCTCCAGCATCAATCCATTTTTCAAAAGTTTCCCTTGGAAACTTGGAATCTGTCTGAAATTTGGTATAGTGATTTAAAACAAACTCTGGAACGAGCAAATTTCACATAGATTGATGTTACAAGCACTTGAAAGAGCTCCTGAAGTGGCTTGTTGTCAAGCGAAATGAGCACAAGCAGAATTTTTTTCCTCAGAGGATTTGCTTACCGAAATCCCACATGCTGCACACTTCTTGCCAAATCTCTGCAGAAACTTCTGCCAGAAGGGAACGCTCACCACTGCTGATACCTACAAGGGACAAAAACCTGTACTGTGCTTGCTTCCACTGTCTTCTTCAGCTGTAGAGCTCACAGACATCTTTTTGTCTAGTACATAAAAACCTGAAAGGAAGGTGAACATGGAGATGCTTGCTTCTCCTCATCCTTTGAGTGACTTTTTAAAATTCATTGTTAAGCTATCCATCAGAGGGTTTTCTACAGTCAAATCTCAGAAAATAGTGTCTTAAAATTTCCTTTTCTAATGCAAGGCACAGCAGTCATAGCTGTGCTCAGTCATTAAAGTTCAAACATACTGCAAACAGCCACACTTGGCGCTAATGCCTTTTGCCACACTGCCTGAACCTGACAAATGATGAGTGAATTTAGCTCTACCCCATGGTACAGGAAGAAAGTTGAAGTGCAAGATGAACCTATCCTAAGATATACTTAAGAGTACATTCCATACAGTGTGTCCCTTCTTAGGAACAATCTGTAAGAGAAATAGTTGCTTGCAGCTGACATTACTGTTTCAGACACTGAACTACTCACCCACAGCAGCAACAACCACAAGCAATGTAGTACCTATGCACTGAAGTACTGCTACTAATGACAGCCTTACACTTGACCTTTATTTAAATGTCATCTAATTGTTAGTTATATTTCAGTCTTTACTTTAACTCTACTGTCTCTTGTCTCTCTTCTTGGTGCAGAGTCTTAAGATACCCAGCACTCCTCTTTTGCTCTCCAACACCTTGGTTTAATGGTTTTGGAAAAGATATGTCTTATAATGTGGGAAAGGGTAAGTATCACCTAAGCAAGCAGAATTCTACTTCTGTATGTTAAGAAAAAAGATTCTGTAAAAGGATCTTTTTGTCACACTGCCAATTGCTCTAGAGAGGAATCTTCATATTTCTGGGTATTTTAAATATTTATCCTTGTGAGCTGCCTAGCCCAGAGGAGTCGTGTGTATGAATATGCAAATTGAAGTTGCTTAGTTTTCAGCACATAGGACTGGGGAAAGGGACAAAGGAGGTAAAATTCCAGACCTCCTTTCTAGAAGCAGGTTCTGTCTTTTATAGAAGCTGTGGCTTACAGGCAAAACCAACAAGGAATGAATTAAAAGCTCCAAACCACTATTTTTTCAGAAATGCAGCGTGGAGGGAACACCAAACTTCAAACAGATGATGCAAAAGATAGTGTAACTTCCTAACAGCTCTGCTGAGACACAAAACTCTTCTTGTCTTCTGTAACTTTTTGCCAAAGTCCAGCGAGAGCCAGGTAACATTTGGGAGAGAAGTGCAACTCACCAAGATGGTCACCACCAAATACTGGAAGTGATTGCGGAGGCCAGCAGCGTGAGTGCAGAACAGGACAAAGTTTCCCTGCTCCAGCTGTGGAATTTCAGACATTTGGTGACCACCAAAAGACAAAGGAAAATTTTAAAAAGACAGAAATTGCATCACACTCCATGGTAATTAAGTATAGTTGGTGACTGCTTTGTTTGGGAGTCTCATTCTTGCCTTGTTTACAACAATTTAAAGAAGCAGTAACTGTCCCATTACCATTGGAATAACATGCCAGTAATACTGGGGCAAGCAAGAGGCAAGCCACACCTAATAGAGCATAAAATTGACCAAAACAGAAATGGCCCTATGAAAGAATTCTGTCTTGAGGCTTTATTCCCTATGTCCCAGTTGCCTTGTGTTGTCTCAGCTGCAGGCTACCGCTAGAAACTGCCCTTTCTCTTCCCCAGCAAGGCCATAAATCTTTCTCCAGAAGCTCTGACTCCAAAACAAGTAACATTTCAGCTGTAATAACACTCCTGCCAACTTCCTGTAGTAAAGCAGCTGGTTTTGTATGCACCCTCAGCTGCGGAGTGTAGCTTTGGGCCAGATATCTCCCTACATCTGAATCCTCATCAGATGGGAGGATCTGACTGCACTGTGCTATGTGACAGGTGAAGCCACTGCCAGCACCATGCTTCTGCAGAACTCAGGGGGATTCTGAGCACCAGAATATGATGGAGGGTCAGCTTCAGCAATTCTGCAGAAGCAGAGTGACAGAGGAGGGTTTAATACTCATGCCACAGCAGCATGATCAATTCTTGCTCCCTTTGTGTGCTTGTAGATTACAGGTGGCCAATCACCTGGACACAAATTAGGATATCCAAAAAGTTGTATCCTATCTCTATTGCCACAAAGCCCTTCCTTAATTTGTGTCCCTGTTTATGCTGCCCTAATTTTAGACATAGGATATCACACTCTGGAATTACAGCCAATGCATCTTTACCTGCCTATTCCTTTTGCGGAGCAGCAATCCACTCTCTAAATTCCACAAAATCAGTGTCCCTCCCTCAAGTAACAGCAGCGAGGGTTGCTCATCCTGGCTCAACTGGAGTAACAGAGCTTCCAGCTTCTGCCTCCCCTCACACCTTCCCTTCAGTCTGCACAAAGAGCAAAACACAGAGACATGGACTGACAGATGATCTTTTCCTCTCTGGGTGCTGCCAGCAAGTAGCTGGCTGCCAGCAACCAGATGTGCTCTATATCCCTGCTGACTGAGGGGATGCTGGAAGGATGTGGACAATAAGGGACCCTTCATCTTTCATCTTCTCCCTGTCTCTGCAGTTGCTCACAGTACCTGCAGATCCCAGACATGAGCAGAAATAACTTCTGTTATTGTTTCTCACCCTTGGGTATTCCAGCAAGGACTAGCAGCTGCTGTGCCCAAATCCAGGCCAACAAAAAAGTTCAGTGCTTCTTTGGCAAACAAACTTTTAAGCAGTCCTTCCAAGGAACTTAATAATTCACCAGGACTGCTGGTGAGCACAGCACTGCTCTCTTACATGTCATATTCTTGCCTTCTGTCCTGCTACTCCCTTGATCAATGGTTCACGTGACTAATAGTCTCTTGACAAAAATGTGATAATTATTTGCTTTTCAAAATAAATCAAACTTCAACTGATATGCACAAGTTCAGAGTAAAATAATATATTTACTGAATTGAACATGTCCTAAAAGTGAAGCTTAAAAAGGCTGCTGTACTTATGGGGACTGAGGGTTTCTTACTGAGTGGCTTTTCTACAGCTCCTCTCTATGGGAGGATGCACTGCATCTTTTTGTGAGAACCACATCCAATTGTAGGTCCTCATTTCAAAATGAGCTCTACCTAACTCTGACACAGGTGAGACCTCCTGCCTCTGAATGTCTTCTTACTCTGACCTAATGCCTTCCGTCACAAAAGACTCCACAAGACCCAGTTCAGCCACTATCTGAGAGCAGTCACCTACACAAAGGAGAGGGGCAACAGTTCAAACAGGGCACACAGAGGGAGGAACAGACAGAAGAAAAAAAGCATTCTCTAAGAAACTGAAACCACAGGAGACTGTGGATGGATAACACGGAATGACCCAGATTGGGTCACTAGGACTAGTTCTTCACCTTTTATGAAAAAAAAGAAAGTCTTTAAATGGTCAGGACTTTGGCTTTGCTTCTCCTTTGTAAGAACCATCTCCAGCCACACAGGACCCCAGGCACCAGAAGAGGATCTGGTTCCCTACTGATTTACAGGGGAAGGCAACACCCCCCAGATCACCCCTCCAGTCACCAGCCAAAGGTTATTTGCATTTCAGACTCTCCCATGCTGGGAGTGGAACGAGGCCAACAGACAGACTGAGAGGGTCTGAAGTTACCTGAACTGCTGTCGAGATGAGAAGAAATGAAGCTGTAAGCTTCACATATGGACCATGCTTCATGGTGAGTGCAAGCCCCTTACAAAAAGGAATTGCTCTGTCTGAATTTAAGGCATATGGATCTAAGAAAAGCAGAATGCATACAATAAAAATCTTTTAAATAAAGGAATGTGAAATAACTATTATTAAATCGAGGCATATTTAAATATAACTTACCATCCCTTTCTTTTACTCCAAGAAAAAGAACGACAATTCCAAGGAGATACACACCTGCTATGACCCCTGCTGCAATCATGTAAACTTTTGCCTTTCAAAAGGAAAAAAAATACATTTGAAATTTTGACAGGAGAATGACAAATAATTATGAAAATTTCAGTCCCTTTTTGGTAAGCCACCTGCAAATGAAGAAATGCCCTTCTGCATACAGCCAAATGCATCTGCTGCCTCTCAGAAAAATGTTCACTTCTGCAGTTCATTTATAAACCACACCTGCCTTAGGATAAATTCAGGGCATATAAGCACATATTTCTTGAAGAAAAAAAAAAAAAAAAAAAAAAAAAAAAAAAAGAAGAAGCAGTGAACAAAAGGGTTCCTGTGCTGGCAACCTGAATGTTTTAAAAATTTGCTTATGTTGAGACTAACCACAGACATATACAGTCACCTAATCAAAACCATGCATCATCCACAGAGACATTCTAATTTTCAGTAAGTCCAGTTGATCTGGCTACACAGACTGCAATCTGGAATTTCATGGTGTATGGGAGAGTTCTCAGCACTGATGTCAACATAGCTACTACGTTTTCTGCGTTTACACATAATGATAATAATGTCACATGATGATAATAATGAATTTTAGAAATCATACTTACATGCCAATGTTTTGAGACTATGTTACCTTGCATGCTGGTTTCCCCAGTTATTTAGTGAAATATGCAAGCAAATTCAGAAATCTCTGCTTCCTTTTATCCAGGGGAGCAAACCCTCCAAGGATGCCTCTCACACCACCAGATCACATTTACTGCTTCTGACTCTGATTACACTGACTTTGAATTAAAGCTTTAAAAAATATTTTGCTTTAGTATGATGTAATACTTTTCCTTATACTGTGTTATCAAAGATAGCTTATAGAGCTTTATGAAACAATGATTACTTGATAGGAAAACTGAATTCTGAATTATTGGTTATATATTCTAGATGAAATTATTATAAGTCTAAGAAGAAGTTGGCAAAAAAAATGCAATTACAAGAATGCACTTCAAAATATAAAGACACTTAGTATAGGTGCAAATGCATTCAGATGAACCATGTAAGCATGGAAAATTTTCAAGAAAACAGCTTTTGTTAAGATGTTTACATTTCAGAAAATAACTTGGTGAGATAAAGGAATGCAGGACTATTCTTTATATGGGATAAAGGTTTGGTATTTTTTTTATATCAGAGCTTCAAATTAAGTCACAATACTTTCACACTGCTGGTTGCACAGAATACAGAGTGCAGTAGTGGAGATATCTGAATTCACTTAAACAAGGCAATTTCAGCCTAAAATGTAGCTGGGCCAGGAGAGATGGGAATTTAAAAAAAGGATAGTAACAGGACTCCTTTATGATGTTCATATTTTGTTTTAATATATTTTTTAATTTGCTTGAAGCATTTGAATTAAATGTTGTGTTTCATAGGCCATCATTAAATGTAATTTGAGCTTAAACCATCAAAGATACTCGTGGTAGGCCAGATAAGATTCTCTAACCCTGAACAAAACTTGTTAGCCCATCTACAACTCTACAACATCAATACCCATGTTTGGTTTCCAGTAATAAAGATCCATTCATAAGCTTATAGTAACAACTTCAGGAGAGCTTAAAAATTACCATTTCTTCCACTTCCTTTTTTTCAATAAGGAGCAAAATAATGCCAGTTGTTCACTAAGTGCTTTTTAAAACTAGGTGTTCTTGAGCAGCTAAGAATTAGTCCTTGTGACAAAAAGAGTCAGGGTCATACTCCTGAAGGGCACTAAAAGTCAAGTTTTGCCGTCTTCTAAATATTTCCTGATGGAGGTACTTCAAGTTCAATTAATCTAGTCTTGCCTCAACTTGTAACTTAATGCCCATCAGCCCAACAACCAAAATTCAAGATCCATCAAGATCCAATTCAAGATGTCCTCTTTGTTGTGCAGTTAATTAGGTGCATATTCTGCTGTGTGGTGTGAACAAAGGACAGGTTTCCAGTCACACTGCAACTTCAGATCTGAAAAATGTTTGTGTCTAAAAGCTTTCCCACAATTTCCAGTTTTAGTATCTAGTTTAATGAAAGATATTGCCTCTACCTACAAACTCTGGCTACTTTAGTCTATGGATTTTTGCTAATTTTTCAAAATAAAAAACTACTTAACATCAACCCATTGTGAAGTTTTATTCTTTATCTCCCTCCTATCTCAAAAAGGACAGGAAAGCACATATGGTTAAACAGAGCCATTTCAGAGATTTCAAAATAGAAATTGAGGATTTCAGTCTGAAGCAGATTCAGACAGAGAATCTGCTGTGCAATGAAATTCAGCTTGCTCCATGACTTTTCAAGCTACTCGTCTTGACAATTCACAGAGGTGTAATAAACACAGTAGTGTTCCACATCAAACCATCATCCCAGAAGCTAAAAAGGAGGGCAGGATGATGTTCTGTATCTCATTAAAACACACTCTACAAGTTACAAGCATCTTCAAAAACACATTATTCAGCCATAAAATGGCATGGCCAGCTAGAGAAGCAGCGCAGCTGTCCTCAGACTGTTGCCCAGATCAGCTCTATGAGAAACCTGTGCCAAAAAAACAAGGATCAGGTGGCACAGAGGCAAAGAATAGTGTCTGGGAATGGGGGGAGGCAAGGCTTTGTCCCCTTCTTGGACCACCAGTGCTGATGCCTGAGTATGCAAATCCAAAACATAAATAAAAACATAAATATCTTAGCTTGTGATTTTACTGCTGCTGAAGCATCATAATAGGAGCTACTGCACTGCATTAGGAAGAGCACAAATATGTACTTCCTCATTTGCATCAAGCATTTGAGATTAGATTCAGTTCAAGGAATCTTCTTCATAGGGTATTTTATATACTGGTTGGTACTTGCACTGACAGAGCAACAAATGAAAGTATAAAATGAAAGGATGAATCCAGCAGTTGGTAAATTGGAACCAACAATCTGCTGATTTCACAAGTTACATAGGGGAAAAAAAAAACCACTACACAATGTAATTGTTTAAATCAGGGCCTGTTTCAAGACCACTGCAAACAATGGAAGACTATCAAATTGTGTTAGCTGAGGTTTGGATCAGGTTTTAGGTTTTCCTCCCAGATACAAAACCTTCTTTGTTTCTCAAAAAATATAACTCAAGTACGAGGAGATTAAATTATTTGTACAAAATTACAGGAAAAGCCTGTCATGGAAAATTAAATAAATAAGCATGGATGCCTAGGTTCATTCCACATGTTAACCACTGAGATCTGCCCCCACTAATGGGGTGTTACCAACCATTTACTTTCAACAGTGCTTTGGACCTTCACAAAAGTACAGACTGTAAATAGGACTTAGAGTTTTGTTCACAAAATTGCCATTAATCTCTACAGGAGATCTCCAGTGGTAACTCCTTTGGAAATCAGTGAAAGATCCTGCTGTAGCCACCATTTTTTTATGGAATCATACAATAGTTTGGGTTGGGTAGGACTTTCAAAGATCATCTCATTCCAACCCTCTGCCATGGGCAGGGACATCTTCCACTGGACCAGATTGCTCTGAGCCACATCCAACCTGGTCTTCAGCGCTTCCAGGGATGGGGCATCCACAGCTTCTCTGGGCAACCTGTGCCAGTCCCTTGCCCCTCTCATTCCAAAAAAAAAAAAAATTAAAAAAAAAATCTCCTAATATCTAATCTAAATGTACCCTCTTTCAGTTTAAAATCATTCCTTCTTGTCCTGTCATTACAAACTCTGGTTAAAAGTTTCATCATCTTTCTTTAAAACCTCCTTTTTGTACTGAAATGCTGCAATAAGTTCTCCCTGGAATTTTCTCTCCTCTGGGCTGAACAAATCCAACTCTCAGCCTGTATTCACAGGAGATGTCCTTCAACCTTCTGATCATTTTTGTGACCCTCCTCAGGCTCTGCTCTAATAGGTCCATGTCTTCCTTGTGCTGAGGACCCCAGAATTGATGGAGTATTTCTGGAGGGGTAAAATGTGCTTTTCTTACTAAGCTTCTAAACTGTAAATCAGCCCCTCGTGAAAAGGAAGGGTGGCCATGTCCCTCCCAGCTGCTTTTTGGGTTTGGCACCTCCTGCAAAGCTCCTCAAAGAAATTCTGGTGTCACACTGAGGGGTTGCAAGGACAGCAAAGATGGAAAGCATTGTCTGCAACAAGGTCACTGCCTCAGCTCCAGCATCACTGACTTCACAGAAGTCGTGTTCACACTCATCCAGATGGATATGATCTAGTATTAGAGAAACTTCCCCACCCTTCTCCACAGGATATTTTAGTGTGCTCCCATGGACACTTACTTGATGAGACAGGGGATCTGAGGGGTCTGGAATGCTGGGAGTGTCATGCCAGGAGTCAGTGGTGTTTGCTGAGGGATTCACAGCGCAGTGGGGAGAGACGTGAGCGCTGGCCACAATCTGCCCCTGAAGTGCAGCTCCAATCAAGGTCCCAAGCACTTCCATGGTCATTCCTAAAGAATGGAAGCACAAATGTGCACTGAGGATGAGAATCTTGCTCATCTGTCTCACTGAAGGGAAATGTTATCAAACCATTTCCTCTTACAGGAATGAGCAACGCCAAAAACAGAAGAACTGAAAGGTCAGTAATAGAACAGTTTCAAGGAAAGAGAGTTTTGTCATTTATTTTCTCATCAGCTTTGAGAAGAAGCATCCATGAAAGAGCCTTTTCTATACAAGCTGCATGAGAGATGTGAATGCTGAGATCAGGAGCCACAAGGGGATAATGTGGAGATCTTTCATCTTGAGGACCAGAGTGGAAGTATTTTTTAAATGCCATTTTTTCCAAAGTAGGACTTGAAGTCATGACATCAGACTGTCCGTCTCAAACTTGACAGCAACTTGTGAAACACTTATCTAATCAGACCTCTGAGTCCCTCAACTGTAAAATAAAGTGATACTTGCCTCAGGTTTATGGAAATAGTACAGCTACAAAGCTCTTGGAAACAGCAGGTGCTGTTCTTAATTGCCTAAGGCCAGAGTCAGGCAGAACTACCTACCTCAACCTCAGAGAATGATTCAGATCACTAATTCTCACCAGAAAAAGGGATCATCTAAAAAGAAACCAACCAGAGCCACCACTTAGGAAAACAAAAATCTAACCATGGGCATCATCTCACTAAATCAATCAACAACCTGACCAGGTGTTGCAGCTCTGTTAAGGCAAATGATGAGAAATTGGGGTTCTAGACGCTCCTCACCCTGAGGGATTTCAAGCCTGCTGTGCCTGTTTCCCTGCAATATGGCCATATCCAGCATCCCCATGGCCAGGAGATAAACTGAATTCCTGTCCTAGCTCCAGAGACTTTTTACACATTTTGCATAAAGGTATATTAGGGCTGAATGTATGAATAGATTAAAGATGGGGGGAAAGTCTTCCTATTTGTGAGGGAATGGACTTCTCATTGACCCAGACTTCAGGCTTTTTTTTCTGTTTCTTCTCTTTCAGTGGCTCCCAGGGTCATGTGTTCCTTTCTGAGAAGCACCATGGAGGATCCTGAAGGGATGCTTCCAGAGCAGGTTGTGTCCTGGTGGTTATCATGCTCCCTCTGGGATGTGGCAGCTGTTTCAAAAGCTCCTAGGTTCATGTTTATTCAAGTCCCCTGATCTATAACAGCCTTCAGTGACCTCAGACATGAGACTTTTTGTGTGTGCCCTGTAAGGGAATAAAAAACCTTCACCATCTAAAGGGAGGGCAGCGCACACAGATTGTGAGGGGTTCAGACAGTGCAGCAATGCAGGCTGTAGCTGTGCAAGATCCACCAAGGAAAAGGGAAGAGAGGCTCCCTAGGAGACCCAGAACTTTTAAACCATTGCTGCTTTGTTCCCAAACTGAGAATGCTTTAGAGTGGAAAATTTGAGGTGCCACACAACACTAATTTAAACCAATGGGAAGCAAAAAAAGCCCCTTCCCCAAACTTCACATCCAATCTTACAAGCAATGGTGCAATTCAGTCCATGCACACAAAAATCCTGGCAGATGGTGGAAATCTAACTCCAGTCTGGTCTGAAGTGTTCGGACACAAACTGGTCTCAGGTGGGCGTTGCAGAGCTTCCAAACTCAGCGCAAAGGCAACGCACTCAGATCACACCCTTCACTCAAAACACCACCTACACATTCATAACCTTTGTCTGGGGCTCTACATCTGCATTTTATCAAGAACTCGTATAGAATAAAACCCAGAAGCATCATTAGAGGCACCAGAAATACAACCACTGTGAAACTATATTCTAAGTAGCAGCAAGAGCTGAGGAACAGGTATCCTTCAAGGTTCTTGTGTGCTCAGAATTTATGATGTATTACTTTCCACATCAGCCAAGAAAGCTGATCTGCCAGCAGACTGTATCTTGAAGTAGGTATATTTTGGCCAGAATGTAGGTAGGAGTTATGTTAAAGCAACTTTAGAATCCAGTATTTCTACCTTGCATTATTAGCAACAGCAGAATAAAATTTATAATAAGCAGTTCTGCTTGTCTCCAGCAGAGGGTAATGGATCCTCTGATCCCAACCTTATTTTCAAGAGCCCACTTCATATTACACAGCTGTTTTTCTTTTACAGTTGAAGAAATGCCTGAACAACTGACTAGATCCAAGACAGTCTATCAACAGAAAGAATTCTCTGTGAAGCCCAAAGAGAGGCAGAAGTGTTTAAGTAAAACACTCACCAAAAAAAGGAAAAGGTAAAGAAAAAGTTTCTCACGTAAGCATAACCATTACAAGAAAACTTTGCTCCAAACAAATACTAGATCAACATGCACAAAAATACCAACATTTGAAAAGTCAGAACTATGGTTCATTCCACCACCTTAATTTGGTTGTGAATTAGGGGAACAGCTGTACACTCAAAAGTTAAACATTTTCTGAACAATAAAATGACACCATAAATATGTGACACCTCTCAGCCACGGAGTTGAACAGCTTTTATGAGTACAAGTTTCACATGTCTGTGAAGCCCTGCATGGGACTAGCAGATCAGAAAGCACATTTATTTGGATCACAGCCTCTGAAGACATAAAACCAGACAATAGAAAACACTAGGTACATGGATTTAGCTAGAATTTAGGCCAGATGACTCAGAATACAGTCGATGCCAAAGAATAACACAACTGGAATCTCCTGCTGTTTAGTCCTGTCCTGTGACTGCCAGTCCAGACTTTTTCTTAAAGATAGTTGATGGAAATGCAAATTGCAACAGTTCCATGTCTCTGGAGAGGGATTGGGTTGCTCAGGGGATATCATATCTAGAATTTTTGACATTACATTTTCAGTACTTCTCGATATTTCACTGTGCCTCTGTGAGTTTTAACATAATCTATTATTTTGAGGGTTAGAAGGACCAATGGAAGAGAAAAGGGATCTTGCCAGGAAGAGAAAACAGATGCAACAAAAAAACCTATAACTTATTCTTAAGCAATGCTTTAAGGACAAGTTAAGACATAGAGAAGTCTTACATGTAATATTTGACTTTTTTCTCTTTACCTTGCTTGATGCAGTTACACAGTAAAGGAGGCATGAGAACAGAGCTGAAGAGAGTAGGAGGGGAGGAAACTGTTCTTGCATTCAATTTATGACCTATACAGGAAATCTTGAAAATATTTTCACTGCATTTTTTTTTTTTTTTGGTCTGATTGATTTGCTTCAAAGCTAAAAGTTTGTCTGGTTTTGGTTGTTGAAGAGCCAGAGATATGGCCTGGAAAGCCTCATTCTTTTAACTAGTACACTCAGAGTGTACTAGCTATATTACAACAAGATCTGCCTTTAAACTACCTGGTGTGTGTCAGAATTAATTTAAAAAACACAGATGAAATGAAAAAAGATATTTCAGTGGGTGTGAACATGCACACAAAATTACTTTCCTTTTTGGTGAGATCAGGTGTCTTGGTTCTATGAGTTCTCAAATTTTTTTCTGAGAAAACAGGTTTGGCATTTGAATTTGTAACATGAAACACATAAATCTACGGAAATATGAACTAAAAAAAGAAGGCAACAAAACAAAACAACAAACCCCAAACAAAACCAAAACAATAAACTCTTCAAAATTACTTTCATGCTTTCTTTAATTTAATGTTTCTTGGCTTTTCCCCTACAAATCACTTTGAAATTAAATCATTATTCCTTATTCTGACTTGGTTAGGAGTGATTTTTTTATTGTTTCCTCTGGCTAGCAATAAACCAAAAAGAGTTTATAGTTAATCAGACAATTTGAGAGAATTAAATATTAACGTCTCCTATTTAACTAGAAAAACGCAATTCCTTTGAAGACAAATTAGTTTTCATCACATATTAAAACATTCTTATAAAAGTCCAGTTTAGGGACTCAAGTCACTAGGAACTTCCTATAGATTAAGAAGGATTTTCAATAAAACTCATCCCCAATCCCCAAGAGAGAGCCCAGAGCACACTCACGATACGCTGTTGCAGAATCTCTCTCCTTCTGGTCCGTGCTGAGAAACATGGTGAGGGCAGAGTATGGTACTTGGAACAACTGTGGAAAGAAAGAACATAGGAAATGTCAGGGTAAAACTGCTGTATTCCTTTGATATCCAAGAAAATGGTTTAATGGGATTTTGGAATTAATTTAGAACATTCATTCAGAAAGCTGAGAACCCTCAACCAATGTCTTAGCACAAAGACCTGCCTTTTCTTTCTGGTTTCAAAAGAATATAAAAGGAAAACAGTATCTTTCAGAATACAAATAATAAATAATAAAATACCCAGAGGGTTTACCTTGATGTTGTGCTCCTTCAGTTTCCTTGGGAAAACATCCTTTACCGAGACTCAAAAGAACTTTGCTTTCTTTGCACTAGGACACTGTCGTGTTCCTAGCTTGAGCTAACTGACAGTAAGCAAAGCCATAAAGAAGAAATACTGTTTCCCACTTTATTCAAGCCAGAAGACTACACAAATATCCAAAATCAAACGTCTGTCTAATTATGTAAATCCAGGAGATGAGTGAAAACTGCTCTTTCAGCACCACTGTGCCACACACTCCTTAATTTAAGCATAAGTTAAGAACCATTGCAAAGTGGAACTGGGACATGAACCTGCTTGAATAATCAAGTTCTCTGTGGTGTTCCCACCACCCCAGAGATCTGTAGCCAAATTAAGTCTTGCACTCTGCATCCCAAAATGTTTGTATGAAATGCATTTCTGTTCACCTCCATCAAAAATGACAACTTCAAAACTGCCATGGAAACCCTGTGTTTGTCTTTCAAAAGAAAGAGAAAAGAAATTATTTAAAACCATTATGGATGTCTTCTGGACCATCTTTCTATTGGGGAAATAAAGGACTTACGGAAATATTCAAGCTTAACATAGGAATACAGAATTCCTCATTTGCTCCTGAGAAGTTATGAGAAGTTGGATGTCCAACTGGAATAAGGAACATCTATACAAGAATGAGTTGAGGGCAGTGACCTGGATGAATTAGCAGTTCATTCACCAGAAAAAGCATTGGTAGAAACCATCAACCAGCAGAGTTTGATAAAAGGGCATCTGCCTGTCCCGTAAACTCACTAGAAGTTGAAGTAAAATGTGAAAACAAGTTTACTAAATATGAATGCTGTAATATAGGCAGACAACCAGCAAGTTCCTGCTGAGAACATCATGGTCTGTAATCTACTTACTGTGGTCAGTGCCTGGAAAAGGCAGTGGAAAGTCAGATACCAAGCAACTCTTCCTGAGACAAACGGAGGCAGGTACCACATTAAAAAATAAGAGACTATCGTGAAGGGTGTACATGCCAGCACCCTGAGAAGAAAATTAACACACATCAACAATCTTAAAATAATGATAGCAAAGAGCATTAAATTTTCCTGCTAATAATCAATATAAGATAATTTATGTGCAGTTTTTCTAACTGCAGTAATGTATGCTTTTAAATATCAAAATTTAGTGTTCATTAAATACACAGATTAATATAAAATATATTAATATGAATATAAAAGATATAAATATGCAGATTAATACTTTCATAAAGCGGAAAAAAACCCCAGAAAATCTGAAAAAAGAGGTATTCTTAAATTAATATCCCACTCAGAAGAGACATAACTTCCTTTCACACGCACTGTAACAGCACACATATATTGCCATCCCTTGGCACACGTCTCAGATTACACATTTATTAGAAAGAATCACTAAAAACTAAGCTCTCTCATCATGTCTTTGCATACTCCAGAACTTTTTACATGAGTTTATTATTATTGATATTCCCCCTTCTCATTTTAGTGCCTTTGGTTTTCCCCTGAACTTAGTGTCCTCACTGCTACTTCAAGCAAGTGCAAATATGATGGTACACCTAAAAACACTCAAAAAAGCAAAAGAGACAATGGACATCCCACTGTGAAAGCTCCTACACTGTGTCTAGTTGGGTAAATGATCATTTCCTCCATTTAACCCCTAATCACTTCAAACACAAAAGGATCATCTTCAGAGAGGAAGGTGGCTTAAAAAAAAAGAACCACGGAAACTTATACTCCAGACATTGCCATTAACCAGCAATTAATGACATTAGTCTAAAACCTATTTCAGGCAAATAGCATTTGTCAAACTCCACAATACAGAATTGTTCAGATGCTATTATTTCCTAAAAGTCTGAGCTGCAGCATCAGACCTGTCCTGCATTCTTGTAAAACAGGCACTGAACAATGTATTTGGATGACCAAGATCCTAACAAAAAATTTCCAAACACATAAAAGAGAAAACAGATTAATCCCTTCACAACAGCACTACTGACATTGGGGGTCAGCTGATTATTTTGCAATCGTGAACTGAAAACCTGGAATACAAAAGAGTAATGTGGGTAAATAGTTTAGTAAAACAATGGCTTTCCCACACTGCTCTTTGGGATGGACAGCATCACTGGGAGCTGAACATTTACCAGGAAAGTGCCAGGTTCTGGTATTCTCTGCCCTTCCAGTCCCCAGCCCACAGTTCACCCACAGCAATGGAAAACATAAACAAGGGTAAAATCCTAACACATCTCAGGGAATCTACCTTCCTCTCCAAAACACGAGCTCTTCCAGATGGTGTCCAGGCAGAGTCATCACATTAAATATCTTCACAGTCACTTTTTCATGCAACTGTTTGGCAACAACCCTCTTGGTATTGTTCTGCCCTTTCTCTCATTTTCCTTTCCTCTCTAATGCCAGGGAGTTTTCAAAGCCTTGCTGGAACTGCTGAATATCTGATTGTCAGCTATTATCTCTTCTGACAAAATATTAGACCAGTATTTCAAGTCAATGTCTGCTTCTGCCTTTTAAAGCCATTAAATAAGTGATTGATGACTTTGTGTTATATTGAGGACAGTATTAAGTGATAGTTATACATTCACCTCCCTTACTAAGGTTCTTGCTTTGCTGGCAAGCTTTAATGACTGAAAAAAAATTTATTGCTTCATTCTATATTGTTAAGAAGTCAGAAAAAAATCAAAATACTAAAGTATTTTTAAGCTAAGGGAAGACCCGTTTTTTGCTTTGTAAAAAAAATGGCCTGACTCTCAAAGTCTAGGAACAGAATTTCCATGAAAATATTAGTTACCAAAAAAACCCAGACAAAATCCTCCTGTAAAGAAAGCAGCTGTTTGATGAAAGGTGGTGCTAGATAAGCACTTTTCCTGTAAGAAGTGCAAGATGTGCTGGAGCTGGTTTACAGTGAAAAGGGTTGATAAGTTCATGCTTGTGCTAGGACAGGAATCATTCTAACATCAGTGTAACACTAACAATAAACATATGGACTTGCTGTATTTTCAGAAAACTTCAAAAAAAACTTTTACTCAGAATACTTCTAATGGAGTTTGTATAAAAATTCCATTGTTTTCCTTTTGGGTAGCTTTTTTATTTGGTTAATTCAGTGGTCATTAAAAACCACACCATTTACCTGGCCACTAACCAAATCCTGAAAAGAGAAACAGCAGTAAGCTCCTCTTTTCCCATGAGACTTGACAAAAAGCTTAACTTCTACCTCAAGATCCTGTTTACTGGGCCAAGAGCAGCTGATCCCAGCCTTTTTCTGATGAGTACTTGCCTTCTCTATTTTGTCAGATATAAGCTGCCCATGGACAAGTTTCTGTAGCTGTAAGACTGCAAAACAGCAAGAGAATCAACTAAAAAACTGTGCTCCTTTTTTCCCTGAAATTTCAACTTCCTTGCTCATGACACATTTACTCTTAGATTTTTGTTGTAAATCAAGTTTGTGGGTTATATAAATTAAAAATTTGCAATTAATTTAAAATATCTTACAATACAGCCATATAATGTACGAGATAAAATGAAGAAAGACTCCCTATTTCACAAAGCAGTCAATCTCCTCTTGGCTTCCAAAACACTAAAAACCAACAAACACATGCCCTGTGGCATCGATGAGTTCCTCTGGCAAGGCCAAATCTTTTTCCAGTTTTTCTTGTTTCCCACCTGCCAGTCTCATTGCTATATGGCCAACATTCATTGTTCTAACCTCTCCTTAGAGCACATGGACAGCACGTGCATGTGGGTAAGATGTCACAGTGAAACATCACACACTTCCTTCACAAAAAAATCAAAACCTTGCAGCATCTCACTCATTGTAAGAGTCGTGGTGGTTTTTTAATGAATGTTCTGACTATGGGATGCAAGAGAAGCAGGACCCTGATGAGTGCTGTAAGAGCCTCACACAGTGCCATGGCAGTATTTTTTAATGAATATTCTGACTATGGGATGATTGTTCTGACTATGGGACCCTGATGAGTGCTGTAAGAGCCTCACACAGTGCCATGGCAGTGCTGGCTGCTGAGCCCTTTGGGGCCAGGGTGTCACATCTATTCCACATCCATGCACACGTTTGTTCTACAGCTGTGCACGCATCCTTGCCTGAACTGAAAGGCCTGAACTGAAAGGCTAAAGGAGCTCCTGGAAGTTCTCCTGATTGTGAGATGTGAAGGCACTCTAGGACATAAGTAGAAATAAGTTCCAACTTTGTGAAAGAGTGAAGTCAAACTAAAGAAATCTAGACAAAGATGAAAATTCAACCACAGATTTAAGTTTTAGATCTCAGCTTCCAGTTTTGCTAAAAATACAGTCTATTGGCTTTATTTGTTTGCATCTCCAGTGGTAGAAAATCTCTTCTGTGTTTTCACGTGTGAACAAGTTAAAGATGACATGGCAATTTTTAGTTTTTATTTTATATATGTGGAATGAATACCATCCCTGAGACTAATTCAGTGAGGTGGCTATATGATCACAACAGTCAATATTCACATATATCTATAAATATTTGTACACATATATACTTACCAAGGCATCAGTCGGCCAATTTTTGTCCATCTACTTTTGCTAATAAAAAAGCCAGCAACAGGATCAGTAACTGCACCTGAGGCTTTGCCAATGAACAGCACCAAAGAGGCATGAAACGGAGTAATCTGAAAGTAGACAGAATACAGTAAACAGAGCCATTGTTTCATGATACAATGAAACAGCATAAAGCAACTTTCCAGAAAAAAAACACCTCAGTGTTTTAAAGAATAATGATAGTTTGTTTAAAAAACACGTCTGCTACTAGAAATTCCTACTGGGTACCCATAGCAAAGAAATGAGACATTGAGATTGGTGTTGTGAATTAAGGGATCAGAAGGGAAAAATGCAAGGAAGGAAATGTCCAGAATGTGTTTGGGATGAGGAAAATGTATCAGTCAAATAGCAAAGTCCTTGTTTTAGTCATACAATTTGACAGAGTCCCTCTATAATTCCCCTGTCATTTTCTCCCCACACATTTCCACCTCCCCTTATCTTTGCCTTGACCTGATCCAGAAATGGCAGAGCAGGCTGTTTACACTGTTTACATCCAGCAATGTTTTTTCCTCTCCTGAGATTAGCCACAAGGCTGCCAACTGGTGGCATGTGGCTGAGGAAGAGGTTGTTGCACAACGGACTTTATCCACCTGGGACCGAGCGGTGACAAGTGAATTGCGTCAGGCACATCTGTTCAAATCAACGTTGCCAGCACGTGTCCATCACATCTCACTTCAAAAATGTTCAAGGATTACATAAGAATGAAATGGCCAAGTAGAAAAACCTCTGAAATTAACCCAGGTGGACCATACTTTAATGACTATTTAGAAATGCAGTTTATCCCAAGTAAGGTAGTTATTTTTCCACATGTGTCCGTACAGATATTAGGAATTCCCATTGCACAATGGTTAAAAAAGATGGGTTCTCTTCCAAGTGCTAAGTTCATGTCACTACAACTATAGTCCTGAAAAAAAAGTCATTGAAACCTATATAAATGGAATATTCCTCACATCAGCTGTTGAGAGGAGCTGCTGAAAGAGCCTCTGGGGCTCAAACAGCGAGAGCAGACAAGGTCCCTTCATCTCTGTGCTTCAACACAGCAGTGCTCCAAAGGCCTGGAAAATGCAGCTGACACAACACCAAGCTTGAGCAGGTGTCCCTTGCTTTCCTGCAAAGGATATTGTCTCCCAGGCAGTGGCACCAGGAACGCAGCTGGTGCAGGTGCCTGCCTGCAGAATTTGCTGTGGGTGTACTCTCAGAGGTGAAAGAAGGAAGCAGTGATCTCTGAATGCCCTGGACGACCAGCACAAAAGGAATTCCGACATCACACCCACTACATTTTAGCCCAAATGAGGTGAAATTGCAGTGGCAGCCAAAGTTCCTGTCACCACCAGCTCCAAGACACACACTCCACCCCAGAAAGTTTGTGAACAGGGAAGGATTGGGAATGGCAGTGTCCAGCAGATGACAACAGTGGCTCTCCATTCCATTGCTGCCTGGTGGGATGGAGCTGGGATGAGCACTGGACTGTGTCCCACCTTCTTGCTGACCCACCTTAGCTGGCTGGTGCCCTCCCACAGCCACCAAAGGGTGGCAGGTAGCCCACCAGGGCTGCCCACAGGCCCACTACTGCTCCTCAGGTGACAGGGCAGCCAAAATAAGCACAAAATAGCAGTCAGAAAGATAGAGGGGTTGAAATACTGCAGTTATGAGGGGGACAAGAACAAAAACCTACAAATTAGGTGAGTTCCAGATTTGTTTGGACATTTTTTGGAAGAAAGCTTTGAGGAAAAAGCAAAATCTCTTTCATGTTAGGAGTGGATTCTGCATGCTCACCCTGTCTTCATCATCGGTATGGGCTTATACATCCCTTGGCTGCATTTTCTTGTCTCCTAAATCTAGACAGTGTCTGTCAGCACCAATGCCAGAAACTTCTCAGTGTTGATAAAATACAAGATAAAATATGCAAAATTTACCCATCTTGAAAAGAATAAAGACCAGGATCCCTTTATCAGAGAATTTTGGTGTCCTCTAGCAATTTGACTCAAGGATCCATATGGTTTGGAATTCCATTTATGTCTGTAGTCTATACAGGTAACTCAGGTGGAACAAGGAATTCAAATTGAAAAACTGGAAGTTACAGAAAATTAATAGAAAATACAATTTTCTTAGAAAGGATCAAGATTATACATGAAAGATTACACTTGGTGACTTTCACATTCTCTCAAGAAGCTAAAACAATTCTGCTCTCTAAGTGTGCAAGAAATAAATCCAGGTAGTGATTATATAATTACATTCTCTCCCGTGAAAATGTGTGGGAAAGAACACAGGATTTCAGAGCTATTTATCAGGCCTTGAAATAAATCCCTGCAGGACTACTTCAGAGAACAAATTAAACCATCAGGGAACAAATAATTAAGCCACTTAATGAAAGTGTAAGTATATCACCACCAACATTAAGCAAAATTATTTGGTTTCAGTAGAAGCTTGTTAATAAAATAATTATTTAGCTGTTACTTATTTAGGTAGTGCCCAAAGATGCATGGATGGGATCCCAGCTTTCTGGACACTGCACACAAACACAGGAAGGAACAGTCCCTTGCTTTGAGAATTTTCAGTTTCTGTGGCAAGCAAAGAATGGGGAAATTGGATATTTTAAGCACCCTGGGGAAATGGTGCTGGAGTCTTTCTCATTTACTTCCTGCTTCATCATCTCCAATGTTTTGTACTGCCATCCTTGATGTCAGTGGGCAACAGCTTTAGTCAGAGCTGCTCCACCTCCCTGCTGAACCCAAGCTCCTTTTTCCACCTCCAACTCCTCAGATTCCACACCATCCACTCAACATCTTGGGCACTGCTGTCCAAAACTGGCTCCTTTTCTTCATCTTGTGACTTTGATCTCAACAAGACACAAGATGATCTCAGCTGTACAACACACCTTACTGTGTTGAAAATTTTATCAAGTCACAAGTCAGCTTTTAATACCAGAATTTACAGGAAAAACATAAACCCAAACTTCTGGACACCTCCAGTCATAATATCCTGCCTTTAGACAGCAAATGGGTAATGATATTTGACCCAGAACCTCCTGGTTTTTCCAGCAAATAGGAACAGTCATCAGTTCTGAAGTCCCACCTGTAGTTTCAGAGTTGTTCACACAGTCCTTGCAATTTAACCTCAACTCCCTAAAATCCTTTTTTCTATCCTAGTACTTTGTCCTAGTTACCATGCATGCATACAAGAAAATACAAAACAGTAAAAATTGCTTATGGATTGATTTTCTTTGTGTCTCTGCTGTTCCGAAATCTAGTTGGAGCAGCTGAAAGTCAGATGAATGGGATGACTCCTAGTGCTTTGTTTCACCAGGTCTGCTTCTGCACCAGAGAGCCACAGGCCAGAAGCAAAGAACCTTCAGGAAGGATAACTCAGCTTTATTTGCCACAAAATTACCTTAGACAAAACAAATAAAATTGGCGTTAAATTATCACAGAATCACACAGGATCACTAAGTTGGAAGAGACCTTTAAGATCACTGAGTCCAACCCAGCCCTGACACCTTAACTAAACCATGGCACCAAGTGCCACATCCAGGGTGTTTCTAAACACATCCAGGGATGGTGACTCCACCACTTCCCTGGGCAGGCCATTCCAGAACTTTATCACCCTTTCTGTAAAAAGCTTTCTCCTAATATCCAATCTATTTTTCCCTTGGTGCAGCTGCAGACTGTGGTGGCTGCTGGTTGCAACTGGAGTGATTTTTAACCTAAACCAATTGAACAAAACTTCACAACCTCAGCATGGTGCTGTTAATGTGTTCAGATGTCTCCTGTCTTGCACTCTTTGACTCCTGAGAACTGATTTTCCTTGTGTCTGCAAGTTTGTGAGCTCTACAGCACCCAAAGTTCTAATAATGATCCCAAACTAGAAGTGAACAACAGCCATCTCAAGACAGAAAGAAAACTAGGAGGAAAAAAAATTAATTCTGGACAAGTTTATGCAGTTTCCAGGATGCTGAATAGCTAGAGGCAATGACAGTGAGACAATTTAAAATATTTATTAACTAATTCCCCTTTTATCATTCCAGGGACATGGCTGACAATATCAGAGTTAGGTCTACAGTCTGCAAATGTTTCTTGTGCTACTTACATGGGCGATGTCTAGCAGGTAGATCTGCAGGAAGAAAGAAGCAGCACTCCCTGCCACTTGGTTTGGGGCACCTCCTATGGCATAGCAGAGCTTGCTGCACATCGAGAGCCTGTAGCCCTGTGTGAGAGGAACAGAACAAACCATGAGAAAACCAAGGTGCACAAGTCAAAAGCTACACAAGAGATAAGGTTAAAGTCTATAGTTAGCACTATTTTAATGTATTTGCTTCACAGCTATTCCACTAACAAATCTGTATGCCCTCAACCCCTATCATCAACAAGCATTTGGGTGCTCGTTACTTTGATTTTTAATGGGTTTGTTCTCTAATTCAACCCCTGAAAACAGATTACAGTGTTCCTAAAAGTGAGTTGTGATGACCCTCAGGCTCACCTACCTTCCTCTCACAAGCCATTAAAAGGTAACAAGTCTACAAATAAGCAAGAAGCAGCAGAGAAGTGCTACACTATTATTTGAGCTTAGTTTTGTCTTTGAATGCTTAATTCATATTTTTAAAGGTTGAAAACTTTTACTTTAAAAAAAAATATTTTATTAACCTTTCAGATAATAATAATTGATAAATACACTCATACCACAGTAATTAAACAACATTTACAGAAAGTTCCACAGACCAAACAGATCCCAAACATTTGTGCTTTGTTCCTTCCTTTGTCACAAAATGCTAGTGTGACACTGGCAAAGTCACTTCACTTTGCATATCTTCCTTTTGACTTGACTTTTCTATGTCTTTGTGACAATTGGCATCATATGGTAATTTTGGGCCCAAGATTTTTCAGAAAATCACTCCAAATGTATTTAAAACATTTTGTAAAACTATGCTCTCTCATTTGTCATTTGATGTTTGAAAAGTACCATAAGCATGCAAGAGTATTCTCAAATATAATAGGCAAATAAGAATAAAATAAATGTTGAAAAGAAAGGTACATGCCAGTAATTAAAATACAAAAATTGCACCATTTCTAATAGGGATTCTAATGAAACACAGGGTTTTTTCCCCAACAGTAGAAGTTCCAGGATACTGGAAAGCTTCTTTTTTTTAGTAAGGTTTAATTAATCTGTATTCCCTTCGGAGGGACAACACATCAAATCAAATTTTTAACTTTCAGGCTTTTGGTCCCTCTTTAAAATTTGCTGTCAACAGAAGCCAGGAAACATGAAGAGGAGCAGAAATATTAATCCTAAGTCTGTCTCCTCTCTGAACTGACTACACAAGCCCTTAATTCTTATGTTAGATTGGGATAAAAATAGAGATATGGAAATGAAATCCACCACAATGATATTCTGACACATTACCTAATTTCTGAACATTCTTAAATTTAATAACCCATCATCTTTACTCTGTAACAGTTTTGAGAAATTTTAGAATTCTAGGCAATGCTTTTCATCATCTAAACATTTCCCTTTGAACTGTTTTATCAGAGTGGGTGTGAACAAACAAGCACAAGTATCAGGACTCCTTCCTTTGTGTGTTTTCCCAGAAAAAGACAGGGTGGGATCCCATTACTACACCCAAGGAAAGTGGACACTGTCAGGGCATGAACTGCAAAATGTTATCACCACAGCAGGCCTCACTTTACACTGCACTGGCAATTTTCTTCTTTGCAGGGGAAAAAAAAAAAGAGTAATAAACAGTCACAATACAGACTTCATCGTAACAATTATACTATTTGATAAGAGATTGCAAACAAAACAGACTATACACATATTTGCTGTCCAAAGTAACTCTTCATTTTCCATACATAAGTACTAACAAATATGAGCTTTACTAGACTTGTGGGCCCACAGAACTTGCCTGACTCATTGCCGTGCCCTTGAGCTTTGCCCCAGGGGCTGTGTACTTTAAAACTTCGTCTCATTTTTTTATTTTTTAGTCATTCCCTTTTTAAGTTTCATTTTTTAGTCATTAAATTACTTTAAATGTTTGCTTTCCTTTGGTACTTTCCCTCCTGATCTCCAAGCATTGGCAAGATAACTTTCAGCTGAATTCAAGAGATATAAACCACTGCTATGCAAATCCTGTGTCCTATTGCAACCTCAAAAACTGAAAAACCTTTTAGATCCGTAATGCTGCCTTCACACTCACGTCGACTAGTAATTTTCATAGACTCACTGAATGGTTTGGGTTGGAGAGGACTTCTGAAGATCATCCAAACTCCACTAGTAATTTTCATAGACTCACAGAATGGTTTGGGTTGGAGAGGACTTCTGAAGATCATCCAAACCAGCCCCTCTGCTTAGGCAGGGACACCTTCCACTAGCCCAGGCTGCTCTGAGCCCCATCCAACCTGGCTTTGAACACTTCTAGGGATGGGGCAGCCACAGCTTCTCTGGTCAAGCTGTGCCAGGTCCACAACACCTTCACAGGAAAGAATTTCATTCCTACATGCTTATTTTAGTTTGAAACCATTGCCCCTTGTCCTTTCAATAGCTAAGGCTGTGGTAAAACAGAAAAAGCAAATGCCCCTATATAACATACGTTATTCCAAAATGTTTTTAGAAGATGAAGAATGTTAAGTTCTTGAAAAATAATCTAATTAAAGCTGTGGTACACAAAAAGGTCAACCAAGATCTAAACTTACTGCAGGTGGTACTCCTGTCTTTACAGCAGCTTCATGGTTAGAAAATTGACAATCTTAGTACATATTTTATGAAGTCTCACTGCAATTCCACACACACACACCCAGAATGCTGCTCAACTACTCTCTGAACCATGCTCCCAGATCCCCTTGAAGCAAAGTTAATACTTTGGTCACAGCAGTAGTTAAGTTTTAATTAAATTTTGGTTATGAATGTTATTTTCAGAATAAAACAAGCTGTCAGATAGACATGGCATACAAAGGTGTCCTGTCTGCTCACCCACACAAACACAGGGAATCTGCAGTTCATGAGCTCCTTGGAAGGTAAGTTACATCCTGATCACCTGTTTTCCTTTTTTTTTGGCTAATTGCTTTTGGAACTTGTTTGTACATTAAGCCATAAACACCACAGCAGTTCTGCATGGCAATGTCACGTACTGTGAAAGGAAATGCCACTGGTAATGTCACTGGTAATGCCTGGTAACTTCATTGAGAGTCTCTGAGCTTCTAGCTGCTGAGAAGCAATCCCTCAGACTACATTCTGGAGTGTCTTTCAAAAAGAAGCAGCCCATAATAGATTTTTGTCTCTCTAGGTTGAATTCATATGGTAATGACCACATTTTCTGCCTCAGTATGCAATGGAAAGTGGCAAAATGAAGGTAGGACCTTGCACCAGTAAAGCTGAAACATTTCCTTCTCTCCAGCTTCCTACAATTAAGGGCACAGAAGATGCACGTGGCAGCTGTCTGTTACAGGATCTACAGCAGCCAGTCCCCCAGCCTTGGCTGGGTTTGCACGATATTGCTCACAAATGCTGACAGAAGCTGTCTTGGGCAGGATAACGCTGAGCAGGGCTGCGTGGCCACGGCGGAGCGCTGGCTATCAGCAGCTCGCAGGGCTTTCCTCCAAGGGCTGGGTGTCCCTGCTGCCTTGCTTCCTCAAAAAACACAAAGCGCTTTGTTCCTGTGAAACCCAGTAAAAACTTCTTCACCTGTGCAGGTTCGTCAGCAAGCTGAAAGTACTCCACAGATCATTAGAGACAGAAACGCATAGGTCAAATAAGGAATGAAACATAAAAGTGCTATCAAAGTTTTGTTTTGAGACTGTGGCATAATTGAACATCAACATCAAATTGCTTCTACAAGCTCTAGGAGAAATGTGAGACGATGGCATGAGAAGTAAGAGGACAGAAGGTCAAAGAAAGTTACAATTTTTTTGTTCTCAGATTAACTTGACAATTTCTCACTTATACACGCTCCCATCATATCAAATTTAATTGTGTTTCAAGGCAAACCAAGAAAGCATAATAGCTGAGAGATTTGATTTTGCTCCTTAAATAGAAAGCTTAAACGTTGTTGTGGAAAATTAATCCTTCTCCTGTGCTGTAGTTCCTTTATTTTTAATACTCTTGTAAGTTTAAACCATACTTGCAAATTTTCCCTTCCCCAACAGAACAGAAATTGAATACAATATTTACAGGAGAACATCTTATTTCTCCTGAAAGTGTTTCAGCTCATTGAAAGCAACTCAGCAACTGTGTTACAGGCATAGGGAGCAGGCGCGTTTTGTCCTAAGCTATTTGTTATCAGCGGAGTCCAGAACTGAACCAACAAGTAATTTAAAAGCAGTAAGAACAGAGAGCGAAACCTGTGACTCAAAGATAAATGCTAGTCTAGGTTTATCTGAGAAACAATGAAATGCAGCTAGTGAGGAGCAGCTTTTGAGTCAGCTTTTCTCTCAGTGTGGAATTAACACTGGCAATGTTTCTGTTCTGTGAGTGACCAAACTCTCTCAAAAGCACGAGCGTGGCAGTCACGGTGGCATCCCAGGTCCCTCACAGCGAGCATCCTGAGGACTGGTTTCAGGTTAGTTAGTGACACCAGCCCACCCTTGAGTGGAAGAAAACAGGAGCAGGGCTTTTCTGCAGACACTTAGGAAAGGGAGGATGAGTAAGGTGGGATACAGTTGTGCTTTCTCAGGATATTCTTCCAGCTGCTGGCAAAGCAGCTCTGAGGAACTCCATGAGACAAATTTGGTGCATCTGTGCAACATCTGCAGACTTATGCCATGAATTCACCCAGATGCTTTCCAAACACAAAAATTCAAGCCCGAACAGGACGCGCCGGGTGTCCGAAGATCTCCATGAGCTGAATGCCACCCAACATGCTGTGAAAGGCTTCCTCATCCCCTCGTTTGGAAGCTGCCCCTTCCCAGTTTCCCCGGGTGTTCCCCCAGGAGCCGTGGAGCTGGGGAGTCCTCGCTCACCTCACCTGCCTCCCATCCCTGGGGCGGCGAGCAGCGCGTCTGGGCAGGCAGCGTGAGATCCCTGGCTCACACCGCAACACAGCCCTGCAAACTGGGAGTCTCTGAGACTCCGGGGGAGCGAACCCCGCCTGCTTCCCGCATCCCACCTGCTCGGTCCGGGAGGCAGCCCTGGAGGGGACAGGAGGTGGGAAGCGAAGGGCTTTTCCCTGGCACCGCAGCGGCCAGTGAGCAAATTCCCATTCCAGGGAAATCGCCGGGGTCGCGGCGCTGCCCGGCGAGCGCAGGGGCGGAGGGAAGAGTGGAAGAACTGTTCCAGGTACTGGCTGGGGCCGCGCACGAAGCCCCGCACAAACCGGGGCTGCCCCAGCCCCGCCGAGTGCCCGCGACGGGAGCGAAACGCCGGCGTGCCGGGACCCCGCTCTCGCCCAGGGCTGTGTCCGAGGGGCTCCCCAAGCCTCCCTGCCCCCGCCCCTCGCAGCCCCTACCTCCTGCTCGCCCGCCGGGGTGTCCCTCGCAGCCCCCGCCATGGCACCGCGGACATCCCACCCCGTGCGACACCTGCGCGCCCGGGGCGGGGCGGCGGAGCCGAGGGACAGCGGGCGGTGTCCTCGCCGCCCTCTCCCCGCGCCCTGGAGAGGCGAGGGCGCCGGCGCTGCCCTCACGGCCCGGGACAGGGATCCCCCGCCCCGTCGAGCCCCCACACCCCGCGCCCTCGGTCCCTCCACGGCACCTCCGCGGGGAGAGGAGCGGGGCAGCTCCCGGCGGTCACAGCTCCACACCGTGTGGGGCTCAAGGACCGGGCACGGGGATGGAGAGGGCCGGGGCTGCTTTCATCCAACCCCAAAACACCTCCTCTGCCCCTTGAAGAGATGCGGTTTGCCGATGTGCAGGGATGTAGAACCGCGCCGGACAGCAGCGCTGTCATCACACAACAGCCGCCCTTGAGCCGGGACAGCTGCGGGGACAGCGGCTGCTAATTCTGCCCTTAGGGTGGTGAGAGACGGCCAGGGGCTGCCCAGGGAGGCGGTGGAGGAACCGGCCCTGGAGCTGTTTAAGGAAAGGCTGGATGTGGCACTCGGTGCCATGGTCCGGCTGCAAGGTGGTGATCGGCCCCAAGTCGGACGCGATGATCTCAGAGGTCTTTTGCAACCTCATTGATTCTGTGATTCTGCTGCTCCCGAGCCAACACTCTTATCTAGGATACACGAGTTCACCACCACCCTGCCCCTGGGAAAGTTCTCTTGCACGCATGCCCTGCATCAGAGGAAATACAAATTGCATTTTGAAGTACGAATCCTTTCAACAGTCAGGTAGCCTAAGACAAGGTTTAACGAAGCCAACAGGACTTGTGACCTGCTTGGCTTGGGGATGAATCAATCTCTACACCCAGGGCTTTTCGGTGTGACTGATTCAAAGGGCTCTGCTCCTGACAGGGGCACCTGGTGGGTACTGGGCACGCACTGCAAATCATGCCATGAAGTACTGACATTAAAATCCTGTGCAGCCTCCTTTGGTAAGAATAATTGCAGCATATTTGCAAAATTCTGAACAAGGCATTAAAGAATTTTCTAAAACCCAGACCTTTAACAAAAAACTGAGATTGTGGCCTTAACACACCTTATTGAAAACTCTCCAGAGGCTGATGCCAGATGAGGTTTAAAACAGATACAGATTGTATTTAGCTTGGTACCAGCCAAGGTATGCATCTAACACTCAAATTCAACATTTAGGTTGTTTTGTCTTTACACACTGTCTTCATAACACATTAAACACTTTCTTCCTGCATTTGCATATTTCTTCAAAAAGGGAAAACTACAGAAAACATTTCCTTTCGTTGTTCTTCTTTTGGCTGTTTCAGTTTTGCTGTAAAATATCTTCAGGCACAGACTTTACTCAAAATAGCAAAGGCTTCTGAAGAAATAATGAATAACTGATGGTATTTGTGTGTTTCACAAGTTCTAGCACTGATCAAGCCAGTTATGCTGTTGTTTGACCAATGCACAATTGCTATCTACAGACACTACAGGCAGCTAAAGCAAAACTAATTAGATTTAGGAAAGTCTTCTATTCATGCCAAAGATTTTCTCCAAATTAGGAAATAAGTTATTCAATCACAGTTTGTTGCCTTTATTTAAAGGCACTTTCTAATCTAGCATGGGATCAATGCAGCCAGCATCACTTCAGACTTTTCAAAGATTTTCTCTCTTTTTGTAATTAAGACCATGACACCTTCAAACTGCAAATGCACACTCAAGTACACCAAAGCTGCAGTCAGACAGCTGGTTTTAGCAAAGTATCTAACTGTCCAATCTCTTAAAATGCTGGTAGCAGACATGAATCAATGTTGAAATATAAAACTTACTGCTCCTTCCAATGGATAGCAAGCAAAATTTACCCACTTCAGAATTTTACACTCCCCAATTCAATTTCAAACCTACAGTATTTATTTCTTCAAATTTTTGTGCTGCAAATGCATGAATAGTAGTACACTGTTACTTTCGACATTTCACGCACCTTTTAGATAGAACAACTGAACTCACAATCAACCACATGTGCTTTTCTAATACTAGGTTTTACACTAAGACAAATTTGAAAGCACTGAGTAATAAAATTCCCTGTTCAGGAAGCTCTGGGTACTGAGGAGCTGTGTCTGTAGGTGGTTTGTCTTTTCAATTTTACTAATGTGTTTGTCTGCACAAATATTTTTGTTTTTCATGTAGGAGTTGGTGCAAGAGCAAAGAAAATTTAATTGTACCACTTGCTACATAAACCTGAATGGCACAGTAGCACAGAAAAAGTGTTTAAAGGCATAGTTCCCGGAGATTTGTTTTCTGAGGACACTAAATTGCCCAGTTGACTTTCATTTCCAACACACCATGAAAGATGCTGAAGCAAACCAGTTTTATATCCCTGGGAATGAAGGAGAGTACATCCCTAGTCTGAAGTCTCACTACTTTTTAGAATACAAGTTGCTCCAATGAAGGAATTTTCTATTTAGAACAAAACCAGGAAAACCCAAACCCAACTTTCATTGAACCACACAAAAGAAGTACAACCCCAACAACCATCCTTTGGCAGAGGTAGCAGAGAGGAGTCAGGACTTGCTGAAGATCCTGGGATATGTCTTACCCGGAGATTTTAGTTCCATTCACAAACCCACAGGCTTAGTAAGCACAATACAAAATATTAAGTCTTTCAGTTGTTTTCTCTTTTAGCAAAACATGGAATAGTTGGCTACAAACTTTATGCCTCAAGTACATGAACAGCAAAATAAAAGATTTGGATGGAAATGGGGCAAAGTGGAGAGAAAAACGTCAGTTTTCAAGTAAGGATTTTCAACAGCTTTGAAACTTGGCCACATGCAATTAGTGTCTCCATCAGCTGGGCAGTTCAGGACAGAGGCAGATAAACAGTACAAAAACAACTGTGTTCCTCTCAACTACTACTCCTGCTTGGTCATAGCCAAAACAACTGAAGTTTCTGTGTGACAAAGCTACAAGTGGGTCCCTATGCCAATGAGCTAGGTAGTTTAACATCACCTGACCTGCAAGACACTGGTAGCAGTCCAAAAAAAGCAGAAACCACTTCAACCATTGATAAGAACAATTCCTTCAGAGCTTACTTTGAGGCACTTCATATGCAGTATGCACCAAACTATCTCGTTTGTATCTTCTCACACATGCACCTACAACCATGTGAAGACTTGACAGAACATTATTACACTGCAGATCTTGTGACAAAAGTTACATCCTGAAGATTTTCAAGGTAGAGTTCATTTGTGAGCTTGCTTGCAGTATTGGTTGCCAAAGAGTTACTGTGAGAAGAATGCAAACTGCAGCAGTTTACACTACAATGTAAGTGAAACGTTTCATTTTAGTCCAAAGTGCAAAAATAAATACTATTTTTCCTTAAAAGGTGCTATCAGTAGTTAAGTCTCAGAGAACTGTTCCACCTAGACCCACTTATTAAATACTAAGAAGCTTTTTACCTAAGGAAATTCTAAGGATGATCTGCTGTACAGCTACCTCTGCTACATTATACAGCCAGGCTCTGACCACCCAATTTAGCTGAGCATACCTCTATTATAGCAGATGACAGCACAGCACCCATTCTGCTCTCTAAGAGCACAGTGCATGAGGATGTGAGGGCATCCATATATTGCTGGTTACATTTTTGGTTTTGCCTAGTTCACCCTGCAGATAATTTCTGGTCAGTTATAAAGCTAATTTGATCTTGTACTATTGATAGCATTTTTTTGCTCATTCTTGAGTTGTCCATTAGGTGTAGCAGCACTTTTGTAGTCATTGTCAGGCGCTTTTATCACTAAGAGTCTGAAAGGTTCAGTTGTTTTCCGAAGTCTCTGAACAACGACGGCGTTTTGCAACTTTGCTTCCTCAAGTGTGAGTGTCTCGTCCTGCAGCTCTCGAAAAGGCAGGGAGGTTGTCAGCGTGAAGGGAACACTTCCCTCAGATCCTTGATACTTTGTTATGAAGTCTCTGATATGGCTGATTCTGAGAAGAGAGTAAGAAAAACTCAGCATTAGAGTTTCGGCACTGCAATCCCCACACACGCGCATAACACACACAGCCACCATGGGACAGGAAGGAAACACCGCTGCACGGAATGCCTGACAGCACTGAACTGGAGCAATACAGACGAGGTGGCATCCTGAAATGCCTGATCCACTTGGCAGGCAAGGACCAAGGTCTGCATGCCCTGAGTAGTCCCAAGGGGACAAGCATGAGTATCTTATTCTGAGCGCTCAAATGCACCATTGTGGCTCAGATGGTAGTTACACAAACCTACCATTTCCTAACCAGCTGGTGGAGCTCTTACCTGAGGGTTCTGTAGCCAAGAGCTAGAATAAAGATGCCTCCAGTGTGTGGTTCATGTAGCAGAACCATAATAAAAATAAAGAAAAAAGGGGTTGCAAAAACTATTTGGACAGCTGACTCATTGACTAGGTCTAAATATAGTCCCATCCTCCCAAAGCAGGGGCATGGTGAATTCACTACAGATTCAATCTGTCTGTGAAGAGCCTTGCAACAACTGAGCAAGACAGAAGTTTTGTTGTGGAAGAATCAGGATCGACTCATTTAATTAGAAAATGAAGATGAGAAGATACATCTGTATGAATAAAATTAACAGAGTGTCAATGTCCATTCTCTATTCCTGAGGCCAGCTGGCAGACTGGCTGCTGGCAAATTCCTAAATTCTTCCTTCCTCTCCCCTATGCACTGGGTCTCCCATGAGGTTTACCATCTCCTGGGAATGGTCCAGGACCTGAGCTAACAGCTGAACCATGGATGGTTAGGGATTGACTGAGGAAGTGCTGGCTGGCTTGGGGCAATGCTACCCTACTGTGGCACCTACACAATTTCAGCAGCACAGATACCCAAGAGTTTTCATGCCTTAGCCACACTCACCAGAACAGACACAGCCAGCAAAATGAAAACTGATTCCTGTGCACACAGACCTCAACACAGAGACACTGCTTGGTCTTCTAAGTCAAGAGCCTGAAAAACCTCAAGCAGGACTGAATTTTTTGGTTGGACATTTATACATGTCTACATGCATTATATCAAATTTCAGTGGGTTCCAATAGTAACTCAGGCAATTAGCCACCAGCTCTCTGCTTCTGAGCGAACAAGCTCCTTTCCAGGCTCCATACCTGATACTCCAGGGTCACACAAACACAGTAAGTGCTGAAAAGGGGACACAACTCAACCCAGGACACAGCTCTGTCTGCTGTTCTAACAGCTCTGCTCTCCTAGCTGCTGCACTCTCATGTCTCAATTCACCACACTGCAACACTACAATGCTTCCTGTGCTTCTGCTCCCATCTTTCACCAGTCATCAACTCGTACCTAAGCCAGCAGTTACTGAGGCACCTACACAATCTAACTGCAAAAAGCTAGAAGTCATCAATTTACCCAGACACTGGGTAATATGCTACATGTGTGCTACATGCTATTAATCTATACCTTAGTTAACAAATGGTTGTCTGGTGCACTGAAAGGAGTGCTGTGTATGCAATCATCACTCTTAAGGAAATGTACTCTAAAAGGATTTCCCTCTGGTTCTTATCAGGTTATACACAAGTACTGTGTACAGCACAAACGTGCTGGTCTTGTGGCAAGAGGCTGTGTTATGATAGAATATTTATTGCACAGTACTTCAGAAAGAGCATTACACCAGTAAAGCTGTTTTTCTGCTTATCTCAGATTTTTTTTTTTCTGTCTCAAAAGTACTTAGCAACTGTTCAAATGGTTATTTACTATGAAGACAAAAAGCTTCTAAATACACTTAAGTATGTGGGACCTGGAATAACTGAGATATGAAGCCCCTATGAAGTATTGATAATTAAAATAGCAATTTACCCCTCAACAGTACATCACAACAGTGTTTCAGTTCATATATCAGGCCGCTAACAGTAATAAATTAGTACAAGCCAAAGAACACACGACAGTCATTAACCTTCAACAGCTGAGCTTTCCTTCTGACCAGCCACAGACATACAGAGTTTATCTTGACAGCAGCCTGGGTTGTATTAAATCTGTGATACCTTTAAACTGCTTCACAGAGAAGCACAGGCAACATATCCTTTCCACATGACAAGACTGTATAGTTCTTCAGTAATTTCTCAAATTCAGATTTGAGAAAGGTCTCTAAAGACAGCATCTTTACAATTTAATGGTAAAGTGCTAATCACACTTTCTCAAAGCTCCTGCACACATGTGCTGTGCTGACACCTTCTGACATTATCCTCATTTCTAAGCCTCTTTGGGAACCCTAAATTTTATTAAATAGAATTAAACACACTGTGTGCATTCTATTCTGTCCATGTAGACATGCAGGGGATGAACCTCCCTGCCCAGAGCACCAACTCCAGCCCTTCCCAGAGGTTTCTCTGGCTTCACTCTAAGCACCTTTTTCCAGCCCTCACACGTGGTGCTGCCTATGCCCAATGGCCAGCAGGGTTTTTACTAAGCCATTTGTTCCAGATGTAGTTGTTTTGTGAGAGATATATCATGTTAAAAGCTATTTCTTCTAGTAATGAGCAATATGTACACCTTAACTTTCACTAACCTAAAAAGAACTCCTACAGTTTCCTCAGATTTTCCTTTACACTCAGTTATGAGCTGACTTTTAAGAGTCCACATTTCTCTTATGCTCTCTTGTCAGCTAAAAGGTTTCTCAAAATTTCAAAGGTTTTCCAAATGCAACTGAAGAGCAGTCCAATGCTAAGTGAACTGAGGAGGCAAATTAGTCATAAAAATTAAAGACTTAAATGTACAGGCATTAAGACACATAGTTCAGATGCAAATATATATGACAGTGGTTAAATAAATCCCACCTGTGAGAAACATTGAATTTCTGAATTATCCTTTCCCCATCAGCTAACCAGATCTGGACATTGGTGATAGGCTCCAAATCATTCAAGGGTACTAAAGGCAGGTGTCTTTTGTCATCAGGTCCTGGATGATCATCTCCCACTTTAGAGATTATCTTTGGAGTAGCACTGAAAAGAAAAGTCACATGAGGTTATGGTTTCTGTGTTCACATGCAAGCTCAAACTTCCCTCCAGACCTCTGCTTCTGGAGGTTTCTGCCCCATAGCAGAGTGTGCTGATGACTTTTTATTTTAACAAATATAAGACCACTAACATAAATATCACCTTCTTTCTTTCTTGTTTTTTTCCTATACATATGCCATTATTTTCCTTACAGACTAAAACATGCTAGAGAATTTCAGTTTGCTTGTGTTAAACATTTTTATAAGATGGAAAGGAGCTTTAAATATCAGAAGATTAAATATGAATATACAAGAGACAAAACTGTCTGAAGATTCTTCATGCATTTTTGTACTCTAATCACACAGGTGAAATTTAAAGGGGGTTGAGCATTGAATTTGCATACTCAAAGTTAATTTTCAGTGTAATGTGATTACAGTAATTCAATTTAACTG